AAATTCCTTATAAGTGATCTATTGCTATATAACAGATGAAACTACTCCCCAAACTTTGGTAAAACATCAACCATTTATCAATACTTGTGAGTCTAGGGTATGCCAGGGAGTTCAGTTCATCTGGGTGAGGCCCACTTGATCTTGCTTGGGTTCTCTCATAAATCTGAGGTCTATACTTGAACAACTGCTCTGACTCAACTGTGATATGTGCAGTCTCTCATGCTCCTGCAGGCCAGCTGGACTTCTCATGGAGGTTGGGCAGAGTTCTGAGAGTGGAGTATATAAGGCGTCTTGAGGCCTAGACTCCAAATGTCACAATGTCACATCTGCTGCAGGGTGGGTAAATAACAGAGCAAGGAATAATGTGGTCATTATTGAAAATAATTTATCAGGAGAGCCTTCTTACTTTCAATTTCATTTAATGAGAACAACATAACTGATATCTTTTTGCCTTGGTTTGCAGGGTCCACTGTATTCTTTATTTATCTAGTTATTGTAGATATTTCTGTCATAAGTTGCTTTAAATGCTTTGTGCCCCAAGGCAGGTATAACTAAGTAAATACAACTGGATGATTTGGGAATGAAAGGAACTGTGGTGAAGAATAGGAATGATACTGTGTTTTCTCCAAGCAAAAATGAATTTCCTCCTAATGGGAAGTGTGGAGTAGTTCTTAAGTCTTTCTACTGTAACATCATGTGAATTAAGTGACTTCAGTTACTCATCATATGATATAGTTTCTGAATTCCTCACTGTCCTTGATTCTCCTTTGTCTGTACACCAGTTCAAGGGTGGCAAATAGTAAATTTCACCTTACCTGTTGTTTCTGATTGATTGTTGGTGACAAAGTGTGCCCTGTCATTTGTTGCTCTTTTAAATCCAATACAAGTAATTGCATTTATTGTTTTAAAGTTACCCAGCTGATGGGAGGCTGAGACAGGAGAATCCTCTGACTCCAGGAGCGGGAGGTTGCAGTGAGCCAAGATCTCGCCACTGCACTTAAGCTTGGGCAACAGAAGGAGACTTGGTCTCAAAAAAAAAAATAAAAGTGATCCAGTTGAGGGCGGGCACAGTGGTCCACATCAGTAATCCCAGCACTTTGGGAGGTTGAGGCAGACAGATCACTGGATGCCAGGAGTGTGAGACCACCCTGGCCAACATGGCAAAACTCTGTCTCTACTAAAAACAAAAAATTAGCTGGGCTTGGTTCCGTAGGTCTGTAATCCCAGCTGCTTGGGAAGCTGAGGGACGAGAATTGCTTGAACTCACGAGGCGGCAGTTGCAGTGAGCCTAGATTGCACCAATGCACTCCAGCCTGGGCGACAGAGCGACACTCTGTCGTAAGTAAATAAATAATATCCAGTTGGTTTCAGACCAGCAGCAGCAGCCTGTTAGAATATTTAGGTAATTTAGAGTTTTGATTTAGCGTGGGTACCTGAGGTATGCTGTCTCCTAGCACAGGGAAGGAGAATACAAGAACAAGTTATCACAAAGAACATGCAGTTTCAGGTCAGATGGTGTATACATCACTCTGTCCGTATTCCTTTATCCTGAAAAGGTCACATGGTCCAGTGTTAGAGTTACAGCACACAGAGAGGTATACTCTACCCTTAGTGAACCATCCATGGCAAAGGGTGGGAAGGGACAGAAGAGACTCAATCTACAGATTGAATAATACAATCTACAGACATAGTGTTAGCTGTTTTTTCTAGTTTTGTGTCTTTTGCAAGTTTGACGTTGTTGATATAGAGATATAGCTTCCCAAGTTGACTGTTAGATGACTGTCACGTATTTGTATCTGTCCAATTCTGGATTTCTAGGTTTTGTTTGATTTTAGTTTCATTGCTTTTTGAAGCGGTCAATATGTTATGTAGTAACAAATAAAATATAAATAGTTTATCCTCCAGGAACTTTGACTCTTGGAGGCATAAGGATTGGACACTTCAAAAACTGTAATGTTAGGGAGTGTATAGTTATTGTCAAAGTAAATAGAGACACATGTATTATTTGGTCATTCAGAGACCCCAGATTGATTGCTACAGGTTGAGGTGGTTCTAGAAAGAGAATATAGTATTTGGGCTGGGCTTTAAAAGGTGGGTAAGAATTTGGTAAGCGAAGAGAGTAAGATTTGCCATTTAATGTGTGCAAAGGGGCAGAAGTCAGGAAATTAAAAGCATGGGTGGAGGGTTGGAGATAGACAAGGTTAGTTGGGAAATGGGACAATGACAGAAAAGTCTGGAAAGAAGAAAGGGACATTTTGTGGAGGATCCAGACGAGCAGACATTTGTGTTTATCATACATGCAAGGAGAGTTGTTAAGGCTTTTGAGCAGCGAATGACTATATCAAGGCAGTATTTTAAGAAATTTAATTTGGCAAATATAGTGAAGGAGAAAGAGATAAGAAAAAAGTAATATACCTAGAGGTTAGCATAGCATTCCAATTCTCGACTGATGAAGGCCTATGGTAGGATATTGTCAGGAATGCTAAAATAAAGGGGGTTAAGAAAGGAAGCATCCATAGATCTTGACGATTCAAATAGGGATTTGGAGTGCCTGATAATCCTATTTGCAGTTGTTAAGATTATTTAATTCATTCATCAATATTGAAGCCAGTATCTGTGCAAGTTTTATAGTAAAATAAAAAAATATTTTTAACAATGTAATCTACCCTTTCTAGAGTTAGCTTTTGATATGGGTTGGCTGTGTCCCCATCCAAATCTCATCTTGAATGGTAACTCCCACAGTTCCCACTTGTCATGGGAAGAAACTGGTGGGAGGTGATTACATTATGGGGCGGCGGGGGGTGGGGGGTCTTTCCTGTGCTGTTTTTGTGATAGTGAATGAATCTCACAGATCTGATCATTTTAAAAATGGGAGTTTCCCTGCACAAGCTTTCTCTTTGCCTGCCACCATCCATGTAAGATGTGACTTGTTCCTCCTTGCCTTCTGCCATGATTGTGAGGCCTCTCCAGCCATGTGGAACCGTAAGTCCATTAATCCTCTTTCTTTTGTAAATTGCCCAGTCTCGGGTATATCTTTGTTAGCATCGTTAAGATGATTAATACAGCTTTTTTCAGAGAACAGTAAGTCATTGTCTTAGTCCTTAGGTGAGTACCCTTTTGGTGCCCTAGCAACTCTTTGCAGAGAAATCTGGTTTCACTGCTAACTTGCTTTGTGAGGATGTATGTGTGACAAGAAGAGCAAACAGATGTGCAGAGAATAAAAAATTGTAACACACAGCGCATATAGGCATATCCATGGGAAATTATTCAGCCTTCTCCTACCCCAAAGCCCCTAATTATTTAAGGCCTGACTCAAATCCCATCTACTTGAACGAACCAATTGATTTCTTTTTTGAGACAGAGTCTGGCTCTGTGGAGTGCGGTGGCATGATCTTGGCTCACTGCAACCTCCACTTCCCGGGTTCAAGCAATTCTCCTGCCTCAGCCACCCAAGTAGCTGGGACTACAGTTGTATGCCAACATGCCCAGCTAATTTTTTTGTATTTTTAGTAGAGACAGGGTTTCACCAAGTTGGCCAGGATGGTTTCAATTTTCTGACCTCGTGATCCACACGCCGCGGCCTTCCAAAGTGCTGGGATTACAGGTGTAAGCCACCATGGGCAGCCAGAACCAACTGAGTCTATAAGCATATATTTGAAGGTTTAATTTGTCTGGCTTCAGCAGTGCCTACCTTGGGAAGTGACATTTAAGTCGAGATTTTAAACTAAGATCTCAGAGATGAGTTAGCCAACAAAGAAGTTGGATAAAGCAGATGTTGACTCAAGGGGTTTTCCAAATAGCCACTGGTGAGAAGGCCCTGAATTTGGGGAGTTTGGTTTATTTGAAGAACTAAATGCTGAAGTAAGCAAAACAGAGTGGTACATTATGGGGTTAGAGAAAGAGATCAGGAAACCAGGGCTTTATAATATGTATTAAGAAACTAAATTTTATAAGAGCCAAGAAAAGCCATGGTAGGATTTTCAGGTTGGCAAATAACATGATCTGCTTTTCAATTAAAAAAACAAACAAAAAACCCAAACGGCTATATGGAGAATGGATTAAAAGGGAGCTAAGGGCTGAAGTGATGCAGCCATTTGGGAATCTACTGCAGTAATGGGAATGAAAGAAAAGGGAGGCTGCCGAAGAGATGTAGCAGAGTAAATGAAACTTGGGAATTAGGAGGACGAATCAACAAGGTTGAGGATCAGATGTGGCAAGGTGAGGAAGAAGGCAATGTCAACCATGAATCCTAGCTATCTGACACGTGCCATTTCTAGAAAAAGAGCATGTTTCAAGAGAAAGGTGAGCTTGGTTCTGAACACAGTTTGCAGAGCTCACTGCACATACAAGTGGCGAGGCAAGTGTGGGTTGTAGGTGTGAAGCTCAGAGGAAAGGTGTGGACAAGATAAGCATGTAGGAGCCCTCCATCTAGAAGGAAATTGAAGCTGTGGGTGAGGTCTTCACAACAGTGTTGAGGAGAAGCCTACAAAAAGAAGCTGACCAAGGTCTGGACCCTGACAACCCTTAACATACAGTTTGTTAGTGGAGGTGGAGGTAGAAAGAATGCCAGAGAGGCAGGAAGAAGTAAGGACGATGTGTTGTCATCATGACCAAGGAAGAAACGTGCCCAATGCTTACGAGCGGTCAAGTAAAGTTAGGACAACGGAAAAGCGTCCCCTGGGTTTACCAACATGGAGGTCAGTTGCTGAAGGGAGGTTCTAGAGTGACGACGTGGCCAAATCTGTCCTCTGCCTGAATTCTAGGTGAGGAAGCTCAATACAGAGACCTCCAAGTTTGGGCTTCTGCAAACATAGCGCGTCCTTTTAGTCGTTCTCTAAGATATGTAAACACAACTCGTCCCCAGCGCGCAACGCGGGACTGTGTTGCAGCGCGCCCACGCAACGGCCCCGCCCAAAGCCGGAGGAACCACCAGGCGCGCCGGAGGAACAGCGGCCTGCAGAGGGAGGCGGTAGCGCCCGCGGAACAGCCGCGTCCAATTGGCTGAGCGCGGATTCGCACGGTGATTGGTGCTGGCGGAAGGGGGCCGGGGGTCGGGGGCCGGCGCTGCCTTTTCGCTTGCAGCGTCGTTTCGCTTTCCAGCGCAGTCTGCGGAGGGGCTTGGGTGCACCGGGGGACCGCGCCTGGCCTTCCCCAGACCCAACAGAGGCGACCCGGCGCGCCCGGAGAGGCTGCAACGCCGCGTCCCCGCCTAGCCCTTCCGGATCCTGCGCGCAGAGTGAGTGGCCGTGAGGTTCCGGGTGCCGGGGTGGGACTCGCCGGGACCGAGTCCTCGGGCCGTGCATTTGGACGCCGGGCGAGGACGGGCTGTCTGTGCTGACCGGCGAATCTGTGATCCCAGAGAAAGAACGCGTCACAGTATTCCAAGTGCGAGCAGTGCCATCTGTTTTCGGAGATGGCACTGCTCAGCACGATAGCCCTTGCTAGTCGTGCTCTGGCAGTAAAGAGGACTTGTGAAATAGAATTTTCCTCTAGAAGTCACCGCACCTTCCCGTCTACCCTCACTTTCTCCCGTTTCCGCCCCTTTCCATCAGTCACATTTTCTTCTTTTCGCAGGAAGTATCATTTGCTGTATGCCATCCTCGAGAGCTGTCTAGGTTAACGCTCGCACTCTGTGCATGCACCCTCAACAGTCTTGGCACCTAACGTGCTGTACATAGCTGATCTTTTGGTTGAATCCCCAGGCCCTTGTTGGGGCACAAGGTGGCAGGTCAGTAAATGTTCATGGGATCCAATGAATGAGTACATGACTTCGGAATCTTAATTATGTATCTATGTTTAAAGATGGAGGAGCTTAATGTCTTCCTGTAGTTTAAAAGTGATGTTTAGTTTTTGCAGACCACACCCCCACTCCAAATAATATAATTACTCTTAAAGAAAATTCTGACCAGTATTGAAGAGTTTTGGGGTAGGCATGCAGATGTGTGGTCGATTGTGCTTTGAATGTTGTTTGTATAGATAGGGAGTTGTTTTTATAGAACAGAAATAGGACTTGAGCCTCCGGCACCATCCATTGTGCAACTGTTGCTTAATGAGGATGCTGGACCCACACTTGTGAGATCCAAATATGGTTGCTTTTTATTTTCTAATTCCATCTGAAATATACAAGATTTCAATTCAACAAACTGTTTTGAGCATATAGTATATGCAGGGCACTGTTCAAGGTCCAGAAGAGGTTAAAAGGAAAATACCCCCACTACTCCACCCCACCCACCTTCCCCGCTGCAGGCTCTGGAGGCATCATAGAACTTTGCAAGAAAAACTGGAACCAATGCTCTAATAGAGGTACAGAATTCAGTGAGGCACAAGTCAAAGAAAGCTTAATTGTGAGTAAGTCTCAGACAACTTTATGAAAGAAGGGGCTTTTGTACATAGCTTTGAATGCTGTAGGATTTAAAGATGCAACAACTTGTAGAGAGGACGTTTGCAAGGGCGAGTAGCAGCTAGAGAAAAGCAGAAATATTGGGCACACTTGAAAAACAGTAAATGATTTGGTGACTGGGTTGCTTTGTTGATGGATGAAGATGGGGTGGGGTGGAAATCAGCCTAGGAATGGACAAATCATAAGATTTTTGCACAGGAGAGTGATGTGGTCCAATTTGTATGCAGCAGAGGCTGGATTGGGAAGGTGGAGTGTTGGAGACAGGGAGGCAGCAGGTCTTGGGACTGGAGAGGAAAGAATCACCCCTTAATTTTGGATTTGAACTAGGTGTTTGGGAGTTGGCCATGCACCTCCCTGAGTTGGTAACAGGTTTTGTTGGAAGATGAGATTGATTCCAGATTTGTGAGCATGAGCTTATTAATTTACCTGTTCTGTGCCAGGTGCTCCATATGTGCTAGCTCATCCAGCCTTAACAACTGCGGCAGGGCGCAGTGGCTCACACCTGTAATTCCAGCACTTTGGGAGGCTGAGGTGGAAAGATTGCCTGAGGTCAGGTGTTTGAAATCAGGCTCAGAAACAGACTCTATAGAGAATCTGTCTCCACAGAAAATTTAAAAATTAGGGAGACTGGGCACAGTGGCCCACGCCTGTAATCCCAGCACTTTGGGAGGCCAGGGCGGGTGGATCATCTGAGGTCAGGAGTTCTAGACTAGCCTGACCAACATGGAAAAACCCCGTTTTTTCCCAAAAAAAAAAAAAAAAAAAAAAATTAGCTGGGTGTGGTGGTGCATGCCTATAATCCCAGCTACTCAGGAGGGTGAGGGGGGAGAATCTTTTTTTTTTTTTTTTTTTTTTTTTTTTTTTTTTTTGAGATGGAGTTTCGCTCTTGTTACCCAGGCTGGAGTGCAATGGCACGATCTCGGCTCACCGCAACCTCCGCCTCCCGGGTTCAGGCAATTCTCCTGCCCCAGCCTCCTGAGTCGCTGGGATTACAGGCACACGCCACCATGCCCAGCTAATTTTTTGTATTTTTAGTAGAGACGGGGTTTCACCATGTTGACCAGGATGGTCTCGATCTCTTGACCTCGTGATCCACCTGCCTCGGCCTCCCACAGTGCTGGGATTACAGGCTTGAGCCACCGCGCCCGGCCGCAGGAGAATCTTTTGAACCTGGGAGGCAGAGGTTGTGGTGAGCCAAGATCGCACTATTGCACTCCAGCCTGGGCAACAAGAGTGAAACTCCATCTCAAAAAAAAAAAAGTTAACCAAGCATCTTGTTTCTTGTATTAGTCTGTTCTTATGCTGCTACAAAAAACTCCCCAACTCTGGGTAGTTTATAAAGAAAAGAAGTTTCATTGCCTCACAGTTCTGCATGGCAGAAGGAACCTCTTCACGGGGCAGGAGGAGAGAGAATGAATGCAAGCAGGGGAAATACAGATACTTATAAATCCATTGGATGTCATGAGACTCACTCATTATCATGAGAACTGCATGGGGGAAACTGCCCCCATGATTCAGTTACCTCCACTGGTCCTGCCCTTGACACGTGGGAATTATATTACAATTCGAGATTCGGGTGGGGACATAGAGGCAAACCATAACACTTATAGTCTGAGCTCCTTGGGAGGCTGAGGTGGAAGGATTGCTCAAGTCCAGGGATTGGAGGCTGCAGTGAACTATAATCATGTCACTGCACTCCAGCCTGGATGTCAGAGCAAGGTCCCATCTACTAAACACACACACACACATGCACACACGCACATGACCACCTTGTTTCTAGGGGAGTAAGTTACTTGGGTTCACTTGGCTAACGAGGCATTACAGCTCCCCTTGGCCGACAGTCCAGCATATATCCTTTAGGCACATCCTTATTAGTTACCAAGCAGGGAGGGAAAGAGCCACAAATTTTTCTACTCCGGTAAAATAAAATTGAAGTGAAAAATCGAATTGCTACAGCTGGAGTGCCAAGGGGCTGGGCTTGGGTCTATTTCTTCTGGTACATATGATGATAAGTAGCTTTATAGTCCAGACATTTCCTCATGCTCCTTTGGAAGGACATTTGTGGAATAGGCATGACTTCATGCCTCCATACATGTGCTTGGTTACAAGTATGTGCACACACTCTTCCATGCCCTACTTGAAAATCCAGATCCCCTTCCCCAGAGGTCTGGCAGGACAAGATTCACTTATGTCTACTCTGCATATTGCCAGCTGTGTGCTGACATAAATCCTGTTACATGATGGTCATGGAGACTCTTTGTTTTCCTTATGAATTTTAGAACTTCCTTATATCAAGTTTTTATTGTGATTTTTTAATCACAGTATAAAAATGTGATTTGATCACTATATAAAAATGGACTTAACAGTTACTCAAAGAGATGTGTTACTTTATCCTTTTAAAATACATTTAATGATGTTTTAATATTTAAAAATCATTACTGGTTTATGTCAGATTTATTGTTTGCAGTGGGCAAAGAAGAAAATACATCTTTTTAAATGTGTATAACAAAAATAATGAATTTTACCATATGCGTCATAAATATAAAATAGTTTAAAAACACTTAAATTAGAAATGTACTGTTATTTGTAGGAGAGCAATTTTGGGAGAGTCTTATGATTTAAAGCAAATCTAATTAAAATAATGTTTTTCGTGTATTTATTTGATAAAATAGCAAATTCATTTTAAAGGTGTATTTATTGGATACCTACTACGTGCTTAACATTGTTCTGGGGATACACCAGTGCACAAAATCCTCCATCCATCCTTCAGGTGGTGAAAATAGACAATAATCAAAATTAAAAATGTGGTAGGTCAGATGGTGGTGTAAGTACTATGACGAAAAATAAAAATACACCAGGGAAGGGAGATAGCATGTTTACAGGGCGAGTATTGCAATTTAAATAAGGAGGCCAGAGAAGGCTGCCCTGATATATTGACAACAAGCAAAGGCCTGAAGATGTGTTTCATGGAGGACAAAAAAGGTTGATCCCCAAACTCAATTAAAAACAGGTTTTAGACTATAAATGCCATTTAAATAAAATATTCCTAGAACAAACTATGTTTTGGATTAAGCAAGATATTTAAAAGTACAACCTGATGCTAGGAAGGCTTTCTTTGAAGCTAGGGTCTTCCATATACATACAAAGAATGTATATTCTTTTTCTCTGTAGGATGTCTCAGTGGTATGAACTTCAGCAGCTTGACTCAAAATTCCTGGAGCAGGTTCACCAGCTTTATGATGACAGCTTTCCCATGGAAATCCGACAATACTTGGCACAGTGGTTAGAAAAGCAAGACTGGTAAGGAACTAAACCTTGTTGATTAAGTGACTTGGAAACATGTTTACTGGAAGGTGAATTTCATCGGTGGTCACTGGGATTATTTGTTGTAGAAAAGTTTGTTGATTTAAAAATGACATGTGTCTTGACAAAGCTAAATATATTAGTCATTAAGCACTTTTATGTAGTTTTGTCAAATTTAACTTATGATAGGTATTCCTAAATGCTTTTGACAAGTTAGATAATACTGACACCAATTATTTTCCAACTTAGGATCCACACTATAGAAAGAAGTAATTTAAAAGAAATAAAGCCAAATTAATGGTTAAACATTGATTAGAAATAAGAAGGTAGTACAATTAAGGGGATTTTTTTTTTTAGGTATCCTACTTTAAAATGTATTATTTGCTAATTGCAAATATTTTAAACGTCCTGAAAGTGTTTGGCATAGAAAGTGAAGGGTCCCCTGTTGATTTTTCCCCGACCAGAGATAGTCATCATGAACAGTGTCATGTACAATCTCTTAGCATTCTAGAATTTTTCATGCTAATTGCATATAAGAGAAATACCACATATACTGCTGCTAAAAGCAGTATCAGTTTCAAAAGAAGAAAATAAACCTAAGAAAATGCTTAAATTATTTTTAATAATTTCGATAAGGAAAGCAACATTTGTTTTGTCTGTTTCATGTAGACGTTTATTTCGAGAATGAAATGTGTAAATGTTAAATCTCCTAGGGAGCATGCTGCCAATGATGTTTCATTTGCCACCATTTGTTTTCATGACCTCCTGTCGCAGCTGGATGACCAATATAGTCGCTTTTCTTTGGAGAATAACTTTTTGTTACAGCATAACATAAGGAAAAGCAAGCGTAATCTTCAGGTATGACCCAGTTTTTGTATTTTAGTTGAAATGTTCTCATGTTTATGTAAGGCAGTTTTCTTCTTTCAGCAGATACAATTAAGCACACACTTACTGGTATTTAGAGAAGTAACAAAGACTGTAAGTAAGTCCCTTTGTTATTTACAGCATCAGTATGTATTTATAGCATAAGTAAAATAAGATATTAATTTATTTTATAAACACAGAAGGAATTTTCAGAGTTAAATGTATCACCTCTTAGGTGTCAGTAATTCTGAGAAAAATGTGATGCTATAATCTTGTTTTACTAAAAATTGTCAATATTTAAACCAATGAAAAGAGGCTACAGTTTAGGAGCAGTGATCTATAGCAATACATTAAAGCTGCAAGGAATGTTAGTGGTTAGGTTCAGGTCCTTGCCATACAAATGAGGAATAAGCCCGGAAAGGTTTGACCTTCACCTGAGGAAGTCAGGTGACTTCAGGAACCAGACTCCATCTTGCCTTGCTTCTGGTGGAGTTGCCCTCTCCTGGAAGCGGAAGTCAAAGATCCAGGCATGAGAGGACATGCTACAAAGTTTTAGGGGTTCTTCAGATGTGCTTCCAGCATGCCGTTAGCCTGGCTACCATATTTGTGTCCTGTAATAATGGAACTTTTCTGTTTTAATGGAGATAAAAGCTATCATTTTCTTCTTTTATACAATACAACCAAACTTTTCAGCTTATGTAATTGGAAGGTTTTTTTTTTCCTTTGTGAATGTATTTATGATTTTATATACCAGTGAGTGGGGAAATCAAATTAATTTTACAGAAATTTGCTGTCGTACAGACTTTGCTTGAATGTACCTGTATAAAGAGCCATTATTGCCAGTGTTTTGCAAACTAGCTTTGATAATGGCAACAGAAAACCCTAGATGAATATCTTTGGTGTAGTTCAAAGCTTAGACCAACAGATACACTCATTGAGGAATGTCATGTTTAGTTTATACATCATTTGCATTGTCTCGGAATCCTACCAAAAGATAATTGGCCTCAAGAAATATGGAAAGATATTAAAGTAAAAATATATGAACCATACATGAAAATACTTGTTTTTTAATCAAAAAGTACTTTAGGTACCTGCCCCTTATTAGAAAGTTAAAGCAATTTTTATCATAATTTGTGAAAGAAATATTTTGATTTTAACAAACATAGCTTAAGGCCGTGCGCAGTGGCTCAAGCCTGTAATCCCAGCACTTTGGGAGGCCGAGGCGGGTGGATCACGAGGTCAAGAGATCGAGACCATCCTGGTCAACACGGTGAAACCCCGTCTCTACTAAAAATACAAAAAAAAATTAGCTGGGCATGGTGGTGCGTGCCTGTAATCCCAGCTACTCAGGAGGCTGAGGTTGCGGTGAGCCGAGATCGTGCCATTGCACTCCAGCCTGGGTAACAAGAGCGAAACTCTGTCTCAAAAAAAAAAAAAAAAAACATAGCTTATATAGAATTTAATCGATGAAAGATGAGGTTTCTCAGAATATAAACAAATTCATATCAACTTATAACACAAAATAATTTAAACATTCTGAATTTTAATTTATTTTTGTTCTAACCACTTAAATCTAGGATAATTTTCAGGAAGACCCGATCCAGATGTCTATGATCATTTATAACTGTCTGAAGGAGGAAAGGAAAATTTTGGAAAACGCCCAGAGATTTAATCAGGTACTTTTTTCTCACTGAACACTAAAAATTGTAATAAAATAAGAATGTATTCATTCACCAAATATTATTGGGGGCCATGTCACAGCAATGGTGAATATCTCTCTATTTTCTAGCCCCAAGAAGTGGGGAGAATCAGATTTAGAGATTTTATAGAACCAGGCTTTAAGAAAAATCCTGATTTAATGGAATTCAGTTATAACAAGGAGAGAGACAAACAAGATACTTCCAGGTAGCATAAGGTGCTGAGAAGATAACATGCTGAGTCCATGGAGTGGCTGGCAGTGGGTTTGTTCCTTTAGGGCCAGGAAAGGCCTCTGAGTTGCTGGAGCAGGAATGGAAAGTCAGATAGAGGGTTCTTGCAGCTGTCCAAGGAAGAGGCAGTGGAATCTGGTACTCAGTAGAATCAGTGGAGGTAGGAAGGGGTGGGCAGATTCAGATTATGCTTTGGATGTGGTGCCAATATAGAAGGATCCTTATATTAAAGAATTAGATGTGGGAGTGAGAGAAAGCAGAAAGCCAGGGATGGCTCTATAGCGGCTATTAGAGGCCCTTGAAAACTGGAGTACTGTTCACGGAGCTGGGAAGGCAAGGAGGGGGCAGGGCCAGGAGTTTTGCAGGACACAATAGATTTGTGGAGAGAAGAGGAGGCTGATGGGAAAATCAAGGCCTTTGTTTTGAGCAAGATCAAGATACCTATTAAATATTCAAGACATCAAACAGTAAATGAGTCAGAGTTGTACTGGTATCAAGATTTTTGATCATTGTGTTATTAATCCTAATAAAAACCTTCCTAGCTGTCAGGTTCTGCAGTGTTTTGAAGTTGCTATGGCATTTACTATTCCTTCCTTGAGCAGTGGGGTGGTGGCAACAAGTCAGCAGGCAGTCAGTGTGAAGCCATCATGACTGGTTGTTCTGGAGAAGCCCATTCCAGTATGGATGCTAGAAGACACAGTATGCGTCCCGTGTGCATTTCACCAACAAATAACTACCAAAGTGAACTGTGGGACAGTGAAGAGGGAGAGAATTGAAATGTAGTAGAGGATGCTGTTCTCCACGCACTGCCTGAGCATTTGTCCCAGTCCTGTGATCCTGTCACTTCCTTAGGCATGTAGTTCCCATCTTCCTGTCATACGGATAGCCCCTTGCTGAACTGAGCATGTAAAGATACATATTGCTTATGCTAAATTCAAGATGGCTAGCTCATCTGGTACCCAGCCTAGGGACAAAGGTGGAGGAGAAGCAGTGTTGGGGGAAAAGCTGGCCAGGTGGTCTCCACTGAAAGAGGTATGCCTATCTCTAACCTGGCACATACCTGGGAGATTTTCAGCAGGCAGTTTTGATTATATGGGGCTTCCATCCTAAAAGCAGTATGCGTAGCCCTCCTCTGTATTTCTAATAGTCTCGAAAGGACAGACAGCCTGAAGAAAAGATGGGCAGAAGTACAACCTGTTTCCCCCAGCCACAAGTGTATCCTCCTCACATTTGGCCCCTTGGCCCAGAGTTGGCACTGGCAGCAGAGTAAGTGGCCTCTGCCCTCCCAGATGAACCCCATCCCCTGACTTTGGATCTTGAAGTTTTACCAGCTTTCGAGCTACTTCCCCATTAAAAATGTAGGTAACCTGGGGGTTGTTTTGAGCCTCTCAGAGGACACCTGACTCTGTGAACACCTTTGCAAGACCTTCTTAGCGTATGAGGGAAGTTCCTGGGTGCCTGGGGATGCCAGGGAAAGAGAAAAGGCACAATAGGTGCCGATTTTCCAAAGTTATCCAGTCAACTCTTGGCTAGGTAAGTCAGAAACATTTCTTTGCCATTTCCTTATTTATACAGTCATACATCACTTAATGATGCAGATACATTCTGAGAAATGCATCACTAGGTGATTGCATTTTTTGTGCGAACATTATAGAGTGTACTTACACAAACCTAGGCGGTATAACCTACTACACACCTACGCTATATGGTAAAGCCTGTTGCTTCTAGGATACAAACATGTAAAATATGAAGTTGTACTGAATACTATGAGCAATTGTAACACAATGTTGTTTGTATATATAAACATAGAAAAGGTACAGTAAAAATAGTGTATAAAAGATAAAATTGGGTACCCCCATATGGGGCAGCTCCATTCTAATCTTATGGGGCCACTGTCATATATGCAGTCCATCATTGACTGATCCATTATTATGTGGGACATGACTGTGTATATTCTGTTCATGCTAAAGTATCCGTGTATGGAATGATGTCATGTCTGGTATTTGCTTCAAATAATCCAGTTTGGGGACTAGAAGAGTAGGGAGAATATGGATAAAACAAAGGTGTCCATGAATGCTAATTGTTGAAGCTGTGTGATAGGTACATGGGAATTCAACAGATTCAATAAGTTAAAAACGTGCAAAATTCCAAGTCAGTTCAGAGCATTGAGAGAGCACAGAATTCTGCAGACCTGCCAAGATGGGAAATTATTGTTACCATTATTTTTTGTTTTAATATAAGAGGTTTTTAGAAAACACATTTAAGAGAATATTATGTAATACACACTCTAGTAGACTATAAATGTTTCGTGTGCTATCTTATAGCACACTAAATTTTTCTCTTTTTTTTCTTTGTGGTGAAAAAGCTAATTGCATGTCTGGACAAAAGTTAGGTCCATAGGGTCTGCAGGGATGGGAGAATTTCTTTCAGGTGGGAGAAGACGTGAGGTGGATTCTAAGCTTCTCTTTGCTGTTCCATCTCTGTGCTCTTAAGGACTAATAGTTACCATATGCTGAGTGCTTATCATGTTTCAGTCCCTGTGCTAAGCACTTTATAAACATTATTTCATTTACGTAAATACTTTAAAAACTAACATGAAGGTAGGTATTCTTATCCCCATTTTAAAGATCAGAAAACTAAGGTTTAGAAGTTAGTTACTTTGCTCAAGATGACAGAGCTAATGAGAAGTGGGTTTGGAATTTAAACCCATTATTGTCCAACTCTAAAACTAGTTCACTGGAGAAGTCACTCTTCAGTTTTCTAATCTGTGGAATGGGATGTGAGGGTATTCTGTCTGGAACTTCTCACACCCATGGAGTGCCTATTCCCTTACTTGGACAACTGCTTGTTCCATTGTAAAGGACCTCCTTTCTGAGCAGAAGACTTTTCTGTGGTCTGGGGTCTGTGAGTAACCAAGGTCCCATCCAAACAAGGTCTCTAGAGGTGCAGTAGTGAAATGAGAAAATAAGAGTCAGTGACAGCTAAAGTCCCTTCCAACTTCAGTGTTTGATGTTCTTGTGGTTTCAGTGCTCCTGGTTTCTTAGAAAGTTAAAAAGTTAAGGACTCACTGTGAAAGTGGTATCACTACCAGAGTGTACAGGAGCAGCCAAGGCAGCTGCTTAGCAGGAGATGGGGCAGGGTTCAGGGAAGCAGGGAGGGATGAAAGGAAGGGGTAAGAGAACACCAAGGGTTTGAGTGACTTGGAGCGACCACTGCCCAAGTTGGAAGCAGAAGGTTTTTTAGGCTCTGCCACAGTCCCCAGGTATTTCCACCAAGCCTCTCCCAGCAAGTCAGTAGAAAGTGGATGTAGAAGCTGGGGATGTAGTTGCACTCTTACAGCCATTGTTTATATCCCTCTTCTCTAAACCAAGCCTTGGTCATTTGGGAGGAAGCCTGGGAAGTTAGAATTCTCCATCGACCTGGCCCCTCTCTCTAGGTCTAGTGTCCTAACTGTTACAAAGCCCACAGGACACAGTGCCCACATCCTGCTGGCTTAGAAGTTGTATTAGTCGGTTCTTGGCTGGCTATAAAGAAATACCCGAGACTGGGAAATTTATAAGAAAAGAGGTTTCATTAGCTTGTGGTTCTGCAGGCTGTACAGGAAGGATGGTGCTGCATCTGCAGGCTGTACAGGAAGGATGGTACTGGCATCTGCTCAGTTTCTGGGTAGGCCTCAGGAAACTTACAGTTATAGCAGAAGGTGAAGGGTTAGCACACACATCACATGGCCAGAGCAGGAGGAAGCCGGGCGGAGGTGCTCCACACTTAACCAGATCTCATGAGAACTCAAGATCACGAGGACAGTACCAAGAGGATGGTGCTAAACTGTTCATGAGAAACCATTCCCATGATCCAATCGCCTTCCACCAGGCCCCACCTCCAACGTTGAGGATTACGATTCTCGAGATTTGGGTGGGGACACAGATCAAACCATATCAGAATTAGACAACAGCAAAGATTTCCCTGCGCAGGCATAAAGCTATATGGAACTGCTCAAAGTGACAGCTCATTCCGACTGCCCAGAGAAACCACTTTTGTCAGTTAGTGATATGTGGCACCTTGGACTTCCAAAGGATACCAGTAACGTTCATGTATTTCTAATACACACTTTACAGCTGATACAATTCACGTGCTTTGAACTTCTGCTATTGGAGGATATATAAAATGAAGGAAAACTTCTTATGAAGAGAGAATAACTTTGATGGCATATACCTGATAAACATAGAACAAAAAAATTGTGGACCAATTTTATTTATGAGTATCAATTTAAAAGTCCTCAATAAGATATTAAAGATCAGAATTTTACTATATTAAGAAAGTCATATACCATGACCAAATATGATTTATTGTAGGTTACAAGGGTAGACCATGACTGGGCAACCCATTAATGCAATTCACTGAATTAATAGCTACAAGGAGAAAAAAGCATTTACTTCCCTCCACAGAAGCTGAAAGGGTCTGACAGAATTTAATACTCATTCCTGACAAAAACATTCAATAAAGTAGGAATTGATGGATACCTCTTTAACATACACAAATATATATCTCTCCATTCTACAGACAGTACCTTTCTTAACTAGGAAAACTCTAGCAAGTCAGAAACACAGCAAGGATGCTCGCTGTGCTGCCACTGCTATTTAACATCACATTCGTGGTATTGGCCAGGGCAGTTAGAGAAAACCATTAGAAGCATAAGAATTTAAAACAACAACATAAAGATATTAGCTCTCCCCGAGTTAATTTGTAATTTTAATGTGATCCTAATAAAAATACCAAGTTGTTTTCTGGAGCTATGCAAATTGATTCTGAAATTTATAAAAATAAACATGGAAAAATAGGAAACTTGTAAAAAAGTAGAGCAATTAAATGGGACCGGCCCTATTAGAGAGACTATAAATCCTCTGTAATCAAACATCCTTCAAGGGTTCAGGCTTATGAATAAACAGGCCAATGGGAAAGAAGAGAAAAACCTAGGAGGAAACTCATGTGCATATGGAAATTTATTTGATAAAGCTGGCAGCTCAGAGCACTGGGGAAAATAATGAACTTTTCACTGAATGTTGTTAAGACAAATGGAAAGCTAATTGGAAAAAAGTGAGAGCCAAAAGTGGACCCACACTTCACACTGATCATAGGAATGAGCAACAAATATATCAGCGATCTAAAAGTTAAAAAGAAAAGAAGGAAACCTTGCAAGTGCTAGGGAAAAAATGAGTGAATGCCATAATGTCAATAGGGAAAGGCTTTCTAATATAAGGAAAAGTCTAGACATAATGAAGAAAAGATTGATACAATTAAATATGTAAAAAACACCCCTGTAGAATCTGTGCTGTATAGGGCACTATGTAAGAAGGGTTGACAAGCACAGTTTTTGCTGTGTGGGGGATTTAACTCTAAGAAAAATCACGTCTTCTAGAATTTAATCTCTGTGAGAACAGGAACCATCGGTTACCACTGTAATACCTGGGCCTAGAACATTGCCTCATATTTACTTAGTACCTAGTAAGTATGTGCAGGGCACATCTGGTGTTCTGCCACATCCAAGTGTTCTGATTATCAGAAATAGGACTGAATACTCCCAGGCATGTTTGGGTTTATATTCATTATTGACTTTATAGTAGCAGATTTTCACTGATGCTCTTAATGGAATGCCTTTATATTTCAGTACACCTCTGAATCACCCAAGATTGTGTTAAAATAGGGTTTTCTGATTCCATAATCGAATTAGCCCTTGAGATTTTGCATTTCCAACAAGATCATAGGTGGTGAGATGCTGCTGGTATGAGGACACACTTTGAATCAGAAAGCTTTAAGATAAATAAGGACAGGGTTAATAAGAGTAATCTTGTGTACAGTATTTGAGAAAAACTCTGAACTGAATTCTAGTGTGATACTGTGCAATTGTGTAAATTAATGGAAACTCCCAGAAATAATTATAGATGTGAATTGAGCCTATTTATTTTGCAGCCTTGTTAATGGTTTGCCAGCATTTTCCAGGACCTTGGGAAAAAATTCTTATTGACACATAAGTGGGAATCCTATCGTATGTGTCAGAGGATCTGGGAGGCAGGTGGGGACTTTGGAGTGTAACTAGCAAGGACACACCCTGGAGAAAATGATGTCTGTAATCATGCCCTTCCCATTACAGGCTCAGTTGGGGAGTATTCAGACCACAGTGATGTTAGACAAACAGAAAGAGCTTGACAGCAAAGTCAGAAACGTGAAGGACAAGGTTATGGTAAGTACTGAGTAAACACCTGCATTTATTCTGGAACTTTCTGTAGGGAAAAAATTGTTTCAGTCCCTTTGGGTGTAAGCCTAGTAATTGAGTTCAGTCTTTTAAGTAGTTGGGAAGAAAAATGTTGCAGAAGTCTCAGGCTATAAGTAAACAAATTGGTAAAATCAATGACCAGATAGACTTTTTAATAAAATGGCCCCTTATTATAACTGCCAAACATTGAGCTTATCTTTATCTTCCTTGAAAGATCATGCAGTAAATGTTGACTTTGTCCCAGTACCCAGTAAATGAGATGTTGTTGCTCTAAATAGGCCTTTAAGTCCACACCTTTCAAATCACAGTGCCCAGGATAAACATGGCCCATCTTTCTCAATCGCCTGTTTTATCCCAAGACTTGGAAGAGGAACAAAAATACATGTTATTGAAATAAATTTTGTTACATTTCTGATTAAGACATCCACAGCAATTTTAGTATAAAACTTCCAAGTCAATTTATGGCAGCAAAGGGCTGCTCTGGCACCCTCTGTGGTGTACATTTATTCCTTTCCACTGTTAAGGCTGGTGCGGGGAGAGGTTGAGGAGTTCTTCACAAAAGCGTCTATTTGTGGAAAAGGCCTTCCGACTAAGGGGTATGGTCCTCTGCAGATCTCTGGGTAGCACCAGTATGGCCTTGACTTACATGCTTCAGACAGCATCTTTCCAAACTCCACATTCTTTAGAGTAACTTTATCCATTCTTTGGAGCAAATTCTCCTAGGGAAACATTTCATTAAAGTAGAAACTAAGAGAGCCCAGTCCAGAAATAGCCATGGAAATCCAGAGAAGAATATGTGGAAATGTGACGAAATCCCAAACAAATGAGGCTTATTTGTAGAATGAACATACAATTTATTGTCCAGATGGAGTTGCATTTGAGCCACCAGGAGGCCACTGTTTATAGCAAGTATGAAACTAGGTCTATCCCAGTAAAGCAGGGATGTATGGTCACTTTTCTTATTGGAAAGGAATGAGAAGATTTTCCATGAGCTTTTTACCCCTGTGAGTTCTTAAATCGTGTCTCAGAGGTACTTAAATCGAGTTACTTAAGTATTTAAGTAACTCAGTTTACTGAGTTAAGTATTCAGAGGTACTTAACTCAGAGTTCTTAAATCGTATCTCTCAAAAATGATGAGGAAGAATCAAAATTTAGGCCCTGGAACCAGGTTAAGGACATAAAAATCAGTTTGAGAATTATTACACATTTGCTTTTTTTTTTTTTTTTTAAATGTTATTACATACTTGTTAATGAAATAGAAGTTATTTCATGTATGTGATTAGACTTCTCCAAGTCAGATCTCTTTTTGAGGGAGCTGGAACTGTTTTCACGTTTCCCTGGGTTCCATAGGAGCAAAACCCTGTTCTCTAAAGTCTTTGGAAGTTGCTGATCAGTAGAAAACATGTTTACGTCTTCATTTGTAGTGTATAGAGCATGAAATCAAGAACCTGGAAGATTTACAAGATGAATATGACTTTAAATGCAAAACCTTGCAGAACAGAGGTAAGGGTTCACATTTGAAGTGGTGCCCATTGGCTGTAAATTTTTCTGTTCACACTAGATAACAAAGATGATTGCTGCTTTTTATTTGCCAAGTATTTTTTGACTCTGAATTGTTCCTTGATAACCCAAGCCAGGGTTCCTTAACATCCGGTACTGGTGATGTTTTAGGCTAGATAATTTGTTACGGGGCTGTCCTGGCATTGTAGAGTGTTCAACAGCATCCCTGACTTCTACCCACCAGATGCCAGTGGCACTACCCAGGAACCCTCACTAGTGACAACCAAAACTCTTCAGACAATGCCAAAAGTCCCTAGGGGTCAGTGACCCATACTTGATAACCACTGGTTACGTGTTATTCACCTGATGAATTGCGCATAGCCCACTGATTGATACAGAGTGATAGAATGAGGAGTTCCCCTGCCCTAATATCTGAAGTTTCTTCAAACATTGCAGGTCCATTGTATACAAAGCAGATAAGCTCAGTATTTTTCACATGTTTTAAAGCAGTATTACTCTATTTTGTTACTGTTGCTTTTTTAATGAGAGTAGCAACCAAAAATAACTCAAGATTGTGTATTGTACAGAATATGTAGGGTACTGCTGTTACTGTATTCATCATCTGACCTATACCATGGTTCATAGGCAGAGATTATCAGTATGATTTGGGTAAAAAGTATGAGAGACAGCGACTTCAACTACCACTTTATAATCATCTACTTCTTTTCAAAAGCTATAGATATGCTTTGCATACATTTTTTTTAACTGAAGTTTTGAATTTTGTTATGTATGTTTATTTAGGAAATTATCTGCCAGTGACTTCAGTGGCAGATACTACTATGTCTGATTTACATGGGTCACTGAAAACAAGTGTTTTGTTTCAGTGTGTCTAGTTGTTATCCTTAGGACTTTTTTTCATGTTTAATAAAGATGAAAAGATGAAATAAAGATGAAAGCCAAACTTTGACCTGTCCCTTGGCGACATTTGTATCTATTTATCGTAAGTTTATATTGATCTTGGCTTTTGTTGGTTTTGTCTTGTTTATGTAAATACATTTACTGGCTGTCTCTCAATTTATAGAACACGAGACCAATGGTGTGGCAAAGAGTGATCAGAAACAAGAACAGCTGTTACTCAAGAAGATGTATTTAATGCTTGACAATAAAAGAAAGGTAGTTATTTACTTTCCAGAATAGCATGCTGCTTTTGTTATAGACTATGAATAATGTATTCAATGTTCAGAAGAGAGGAAACATTATTTTTATAACCCCCTTGCTTAGAGCCCCAGTTGAGAATGAAATACTTGCTTTTCTTTTAAAAATATTTTAAGATTCAATGATTAAAAATGAATATATTTCACTTTATTTCTTCTTTTATAACCACTTGGCTTAGAGCCCCAGTTGAGAACGAAATGATACTTGCTTTTCTTTTAAAAAATATTTTAAAATTCAGTGATTAAAAATGAATTTATTTCACTGTTTCTTCCGCTGCCTTTAGGAAGTAGTTCACAAAATAATAGAGTTGTTGAATGTCACTGAACTTACCCAGAACGCCCTGATTAACGAAGAACTAGTGGAGTGGAAGCAGAGACAGCAGAGTGCCTGTATTGGGGGGCCACCCAATGCTTGCCTGGATCAACTGCAGAACTGGTAAGATTCTCCAAAGTGGAAAACCAGCAGCTGACTGGCTAACCACATAAGCTCATCAGTGCACCTTTGAGCTGTGTTGAATGGACCTTGTCAAAACGTTGATACAGAGTTTGATGTAGTCCAGCTTCTGCTTACCCTGGAAGCAGTCTCTTGGAAAGCACAGTGTTATTCATGACTCTTGCCACATTCAGCCACGTCTGCTTGGTTTGGAGCACTCCTGTGCCATGGGATGTGTCGTTTGACTGTACAACACATTAGTGACATGGTTGTTATAGAACACATTTAACAACTTGACTCCTAATGTTTCATTCAAAACAAGATAACTTGAGGCATTTTTCTAGGCTTACGTGCATAGATTGTCGGGAGCCATTCATTCAGTCATCCATCCAGCAATACTTATTGAATGCCTACCATGTGCCAGGCACTGTACTGGGACCTGGGCACACAAGGATGAATGATTCTTGGCCCTTGGCAACAAGGACTTGTCAGTGTGGAGGAGGGATGTAGACATGGTAATAATTCTGTGCAGTAGAAGTTTCCAGGTGCCCTAACAAAAGGCTATCAGAGTTCTGAGGAGGACAAAGGAAAGCATCTCCAGAGAAGGTTTCATAGAGGAAATGGCCTTGCACGGACTCAAGAGTGACTAGGCTTTTTTGACATAGAGGAGAAGTGCTTTCTGGCACAGAGAACAGCATGTGCAAAGGCACACATGTGGGAGCCTGAAGGGGCTGTCTGTATTGGGTGGCTGGAGAGTGATGTCAGGTGAGACGGGAAGGAAAGTGGACCTGGCAGGAGATGCTGGAACCTAATGGCGGAGGTTCTCACACCATGCTAGGAACGGAATGGGGGCCGTGTGTACCCATACTGCTGAGGAAAGGCAGGCTTTTTTCGTAAGCAGGATGTTTCTCTGATCTTTGATTTAGAAAGGGCACTCTAGCTACAGCCTGTAGGATAGGACAGAGACAGAAAGACCAGTTGGAATACTATTCGCATATTAGTGTGGTCCAGGTAAGAGGCAACAGCAGTTGCACTTGGGATCACAGAGTGAATATGAGGGAATGGTGGCCTCGGACCATTGCAAAGGGTCCAAGGATCAGAGACCTCACGAGGTTATTTTCTGTATTGCTAATTTTTTTTTTAAATCACAATTAATATTCAGCCATTTATTTTTATTCTGTGAATTGCCTGTAGGTGCCTCAGATTTCTTGTGGGTTAGAGCAGAGCTTCTGAGCCCAGTACACCCCATGTGTCTTGAGGAATGCTGACACCCCTAAGCCTTCTGGGTGGCCAGAGAGGCCCTGGGGTATGTAGAGCCCCCTAGTGGTCTTCTTAGACCACAGGAGCCTCTTCTAGGGGACACACCTGCCCTCTAGTTTTCCCACTGTGCTGTGTAAGGATTGTCGTTTTCTCTGTGTGCAGAGTTAGGGACACTGGTTTAGCGTCTCCTCTGGAACTCAGGCAACCGTTATCCTGCCTTCTCTTTTCCTGACGAATGGCTGCTGTCCCAGGGCTTTGAACTGGAATCGAGTAGAACCAGAAAGTGAAGTAGATACTTTTCCCAGCGAAGAAGACACTTGTAAAAAGTTTTCTTCTGTCATTACTGCAAGCAAATAAAACTGTGTTTCCCCTGCCTGTTTTACTGTTAGCAGTTGACTGAAAGGAAGGAAGACTAAGAGCAATCACTAGGTGTACTCACTGGCTTTATATTTTTAGGATCGAGGCTGAGCATATTGCCTTCTCCTTTCAGTTGAGTGAAACCAGAATCGTTGTTCCTTCCTCTCCTCCTGTCCTCGGCCTTGCCTCCCCTATCTCCTGCCCTGTTCCGCGTCTCTGACTGGTCCTGCCAAGACACTGTTTGCTGATGCTACTCTCTGGACAGAACCTGCAGTGGCTCCTCGCTGCCTCTTGCATCACCTAGAAGCATCTGCTTTACTGTTTTCCCTGCCTCTGGCCTCTTCTTTCCCCTGCCTCAGTCACACATCACCCAGAAGCCCAGCCCACACTCACCTCTCCTTACTTAGACCTCAGTGGTGTGCAGAAGTTTTTGATCTAGGCTGTAATCATTCAGTCATGTTAGATTTTCTCCTCAAATAACAAAGCTGCTAGCACTGGCACAAGCCTCATTTCCCTTGTTTCTCCCTAGAGCGCAGAGCACAATATCCTGGTAACATTTTGTGTTGCACATAACAACTTGTTGGTTTCTATGGGATATGGTTTGGCCATGTCCCCACCTAAATCTCACCTTAAATCGTAATAATCCCCATGTGTCAAGGGCAGGGCCAGGTAGAGATAATTGAATCGAGAGGGGTGGTTTCCTTCATACTGTTCTTGTGGGAGTGAGTAAGCCTCATGATGGTTTTATAAAAGGGAGTTTTCCTGCACAAGCCCTCTTGCCTGCCTCCATAAAAGATGTGACTTTGCTCCTTATTTGCCTTCCGCTGTGATTTGGGGGCCTCCCCCAGCCATGTGGAACTATGCGTCAATTAAACCGCTTCCTTTATAAATGTCCTAGTCTCAGGCATGTCTTTATTAGCAGCATAAGAACGGACTAATACACCATGATTCCCTTTAATCCAGGCTGCTTCTGGACTATTTCTCATAAAGACATCTGTGTCTTGTACCTTCCCAGGTTCACCATAGTTGCGGAGAGTCTGCAGCAAGTTCGGCAGCAGCTTAAAAAGCTGGAGGAATTGGAACAGAAATACACCTATGAACACGACCCTATCACAAAAAACAAACAAGTGTTATGGGACCGCACCTTCAGTCTTTTCCAGCAACTCATTCAGAGGTAACTGGAGGGACATTTATTTGTACCTTCTGTAATCACTTTATACAGAGGAACGTTTTACTGTAATTCGGATGATTTAGAAAGGTTTAGTAGGTTATATAAAATTTTCTTAATGACAGTGACTCTTCCTGAATTATTTGGTTATGCCAGTGGCCTTTCACTCTTGTGGCCACCTAGGCTGGAATCTGTAGACACCTTTCACTCCTCCTTCCCCTGTGACCAGGTCTCTGCCATAACCCCAGCATGCCTCACCTCCTCCCCTGTCCTCCTCATGTCTCAGGCTCTTAAATCCTCTTTTCTGGACTCTTCCCCAGCCTCCCTACCCTTCCCCAGTTCCCCATCCCTGTGACCAGTGCTGTCCCTGAGCAGAGTTCCATTCTGGTTCCTCATCACCCTCTGATCCAAGCGAAGCCCCTCAGGTGGGCATTCATGGACCTCCTTCTGCAGCGTGGACCTGGCTGACCACTCCATGCTTCATGTCCACAAACGCCCCTTTCTAGGCAAACGACCTCTTGCTGATTCCTATAGGGGCCATGCTGCAAAGAAAGGAAAGAAGATTTTGAACAGTCATCTCCAGTTATTACAAAGGAGCCAGTGGCATCCTGGGTGTGTATAATGTGACAGATCAGGAGTCCTTCAATAATGTTAAACAGTGGCTGCAGAAAATAGATCGTTATGCCAGTGAAAACGTCGACAAATTGTTGGTAGAGAACAAGTGTGATCTGCCCACAAAGAAAGTAGTAGAATACACAACAGCAAAGGAATTTGCTGATTCCCTTGGAATTTCATTTTTGGAAGCCAGTGCTAAGAATGCAACGAATGTGGAACAGTCTTTCATGATGATTGCAGCTGAGACTGAAAAGCTAACGAGTCGTGGAACAACAGCTGGTGGTGCTGCGACCAGTGTTAAAATTCAGAGCACTCTGGTCAAGCAGCCAGGTGGAGGTTGCTGCTAAAATTTGCCTCCATCCTTTTCTCACAGCAATGAATTTGCAATCTGAACCCAAGTGAAAAAACAAAATTGCCTAAATTGTTCTGTATGTAGCTGCAGTACAACAGATTCTTAACGTCTCCCCAAAGGTCAGAGATTGTAAATGGTCAATACTGACTTTTTTTTATTCCCTTGACTCAAGACAGCTAACTTCATTTTCAAAACTTTTAAACCTTTGTGTGCTGGTTTATAAAATAATGTATTTTCCTGATACCACACTTTCTCATGGTTGGTTAGAATATATTTTGTTTTGAGGTTTATATTGGTGTGTTTAGATGCCAGGTTCAGTCTTCTGAAGGTGAAGTTCAGCCGTTTTGTGTGAAACAGCACAAGCGGCATCGGTCACTTTCCATGCATGAAGTTTAGTGAGATGTTATATGTAAGATCTGATTTGTTAATTCTTCCTTATAGAGTTATAAATGAAAAGATTACACTATTTGATCAATAGTTTCTTCGTACTCTACATATAATTTGTGGCTGCAGAATATTGTAATTTGTTACACACTATGTAAAAAAACAACTGAAGATATGTTTAATAAATATCGTACTTATTGGAAGTAATATTCAAAAACAACATACTTGGTTCCCTGTAGCTAATGTTCAAACAAGAAGACCTGTATGTTGGGTTTTTTAAAAATTAAAAACATTACTTATACTTTGAGTACACATTTTTTTCTTAATGCTGACTTGTAAATGAACATAATTAAATACAGGGTTTTTATTTATTTATTTATTTATTTATTGAGACAGGGCCCTACTCTGTCATCCAGGCTGGAGCGCAGCTGTGTGATCATGGCTCACATCAGCCTCTACCTCCTGGGCACAAGTGATCTTCCTGCTTCAGCCCTCCAGTAGCTGGGACTAATTAGCCATACCTGGCTAATTTTTTTTGAGACGGAGTTTTTTGCTTTTGTTGCCCTGGCTGGAGTGCAATGGCGTGATCTCAGCTTACCGCAACCTCCACCTCCTGGGTTCAAGTGATTCTCCTGCCTTAGCCTCCTGAGTAACTGAGATTACAGGCATGTGCCACGATGCCTGGCTAATTTTGTATTTTTAGTAGAGACAGGGTTTCTCCATGTTGGTCAGGCTGGTCTCGAACTCCTGACCTCATGTGATCCACCCGCTTCAGCCTCCCAAAGTGCTGGGATTACAAGTGTGAGCCACCATGCCTGTGCCTGGCTAATTTAAAAAAAAAAAAAAAAGTTGTAAAGATAGGGTCTCACTGTGTTGCCTAGGCTGCTCTTGAACTCCTGGGCTCAAGTAGTCCTCCTGCCTCAGCTTCTTAAAGTGCTGGGCTTACAGACATGAACCACTGTGCCTAGCCTTCATTGTTGAATAGTTTCACAGATCATTACAATTACTGTTTCTGTTAAGTGCCAATTAGGTTTTGGGATTTCTTTACTGATTAGAAAATACCACTTTATTCATCCAACTTATCAGAATCTTTCAAACTATTTTTTGCGTTGTACTCTCTAACTACCTTTTTTCTTTAGGGAAAGTCATTGGGACTGCCTCAGCCTTCATGGAAATGCTAACTTATCTATCCTTTGCTGGGTATTTGCAGCTCGTTTGTGGTGGAAAGACAGCCCTGCATGCCTACGCACCCTCAGAGGCCGCTGGTCTTGAAGACTGGGGTCCAGTTCACTGTGAAGTTGAGGTAACCAGGGAAACGTCATCCCATACCTCGCCTGTCATGTACTTTGTGGTTTGTCCCCCTAGCATTCTTTTATAAAAAACTGTTATATATGGTGCTTTTGAGGAAATAATTTTTCAGGGGGCATTTTAATATGAACTCTTACTGAGAATATCTGAGAGTCTTTTGTTAATATATTCATAGTAGAAATGTAACTGATACACATATAGGTACACACTCCTGATTTTTCTTCAATCATAGATGTAATGCATGTTCACAGTAAAACAGAATTCCAAATTGCAGAAATGTGTGTAATAGTAAAAGTTCCTGGCTCCCTTACCTCTCTTGGGCATATGCTCATAACCTGAGCCTTATGAACAGAAACTGTGTGAATATGGATTTATAACGTGCACATTTTTCTGATGACTGAATGGTTTAATAATTTTCATCAGATTCTCAAAGTAGTCCATGATATAAATATCTGTGGACACCACAGTAAATGGCCTAGTGTCTGTCCTCCCAGGATTCTGTCCATGTCAACCCAAAAATGTATTTCATACAGAAACACACACAAATATGACATATTTCCTTTTTAAAAACCTAGGGTTCCATGTCTACACAAATATGTATTTCATGCAGAAGCGCACACACACACACACACACACACACACAAATAAGATGTATTTCCTTTTTTAAAAACTAGGCTTATGCTGCATATGTTGTTTTGTAGGCTTTCTCCTCGATAATAATTGTAGAAGTGTTTCCAGGAACATGTGGCTCTAGTTGAATGACCACATTGCCTTGAGTGTTCTTCTTATGATGAGTAGCTAGACTCTGAAGAACTGGACTGACCTTTGGAGTTGGCTCTGGTTCTTTTTCTTGGGTGCTGCTGATTTAAGTCTGGATATTCCTCCCTGGCTGGTAGTGTACAATGCCACACTCAAGCCCTTGTGGAATTCTGGAACTCACAGCTGGAAGGGACAGTAGAAATCTGATCCCATCTACCTGCTCCACTGAATGGAGTGGACAGAGCCCTGGGGTCTCCTTCCCAAGGTCTCCAGCTCCATGGAACAGAGGTACACCCTCTCACCTGCCTTCCATCTTTCCACGCTACCCTGGTGTGACTATATGTGTGACACTAATTTTTCTGATTATAGGCAATAGTTTTTATTGTCTCCCAACAGGACAAAGATTAGATACAAGTTTTAGTAGAAAGTAATGTTTGCTATTTTTCACCCATATACATTGGCCAAAGGTAGAAATTTTGATGAAACCCAATATTGGCAAGGTTATAGAGGGAAACAGTTACTCTCATTAACTGTGGGTGGGAATGTAAAATCAGGACAGCATCCTGTCAGAATTAGTGTTAGAATTTTGCCTAAGCAATTCTGTAGCTAGGAGTTTATTCTTCCAAATACACTTAAAAAAAATTGAAGTAGATCCACAAAACTGCCAGTTTTGTTGTGGGTAACACTCTAAAACTGGAGGGAGAGTGGTTTATCTAAACGTTAATAGGGAATTGGCATAATAAATAAATTGTAACAGGTAATTTTTTTAAGTAATGGCTTTTATGTTTCTTTCCAGACTGTTGGTGAAATTGCAAGAGCTGAATTATAATTTGAAAGTCAAAGTCTTATTTGATAAGTAAGATATCTTTAATAATATGTAACACGTACTATTGAAATGTTGATTTTGTTACGCAAGTACAGACTCCTCCAGTAAATGAGCAGATTCACCAGCTGTGGAAGGGTCTACACTGGGGAGACATTTCCCTTCCTGGGGCCCCAGGGCTGAACCCAGAGCCTTGATGATGCTGCGCATGAGCAGAGGCTACTAGTCAGATCTACCAGGGCCATCACAAATTATCCCAGCAGATTTAAATCAGCAGCTCCCTTGCTGGATGTTGGGAGCTTCCCCTAGAGCCGATATCAACATTCCTGTGCCTTTTTAGACTGTAAATGAACAGGAAAGTGAGTGTCTCTTTATGCATATGAGATTGTAATCAGCAAGTCTGAAGTGGCTGGACTTGGCATGCCACCCCTTCCTTCAAGGTCAGCCCTGGAGGAAGAGGCCCCTGATCAAATCCAAGGCTGAACATTCAGGCTGCCCTGATTCCGTGGTCATTTGGGGGTTTGTTTGTAGAGTGAGGTCAGCAGCATCTTGAAGAGACTGTGTGGAGCCTGTGGGATTCACCCTTGTCTCTTCTGGGCAGTGGGACTCGGGAATAGGCATCTCTCATGGGAGTCCAAGTGGAGGAGCCACATCCTGTTTTGTCCTGAGATCCTAGACCTAGACTGGCACTGACCCGGCCACTCACATTTAGGAACAAGATGGCTCCTCCCCCCTGCCATATTTAATGTTTTTGTTAGCTTGTGTCACATACTGGTATGGCAAGTTTCAAAAATGATTTATGGTCATTCAAATCATTTTCCTCTGGCTTTGTGCTTCTTCCCACTCCTATAAAAATATTCTTCCTTATAGCCTGGTCTGTGACTTGTCTTCCCTGCCGTCATCTTTGATGTATCAGTTAGCTTTTGCTCCCTAACAAACTATTCCCAAAACGTAGTGACTAGGCCAGGCGCAGTAGCTCACACCTGTAATCCCAGCACTTTGGGAGGCCGAGGCAGGCAGATCACATGAGGCTGGGAGTTTTAAAACAGCCTGGCCAACATGGCAAAACTCTGTCTCTACAAAAAATACAAAAAAATTAGCTGGACATGGTGGTGCGCACCTGTAATCCCAGCTACTTGGGAGGCTAAAGCACGAGAATCACTTGAACTCGGGAGGTGGAGGTTTCAGTGAGCTGAGATCATGCCACTGCACTCCAGCCTGGGTGATGGAGTGAGACTTTGTCTTAAAAAAAAAGTAGTGGCTGAAAAACCCAAAAACAGTATTTGTCATATTCTGCGAGCTGTAGGTCGTCCTGGTCTGGCTGGCGTGGTTGTAGCCAGGTGGTCTAGCAAGGCCTCATCACATGTCTGGGACTCAGCTGGGATAACCAGGACCTAGTATGGGTAGATGGAGTCAGGGAGTGAATGGAAGACCACAAACCTACAGGGGTAGATTCATTTTTTATTTATCATTCACTTACACTCTTACATTCTTTTATAATTTTGTTAAAGCTTATTTCAAATTTTAAATATCTAATTATATATATAGATATATATAGATATATATATTTTTTTTTTTGCAGAGATGTGAATGAGAGAAATACAGTAAAAGGGTACGTGATGTACTTTGCACTATACTGTGCTGTATTTTTGCTTATTTGTTTGGTAGTTGGAAGCCTTTTCAGTATTTCTTTCCTGTATCATATAGATTTAGGAAGTTCAACATTTTGGGCACACATACAAAAGTGATGAACATGGAGGAGTCCACGAACGGCAGTCTGGCGGCTGAATTTCGGCACCTGGTAGGAACATCAGTTTCCTCTCTTTATGTTGTCTGTTTTTTTTAGGGCTTTTGACAACACAGCGGCCCTTTTTGGCACTTTGTCATGTGGATGACACCCCACCTCCCTGGGCTTTCCAGACTTTGTGGCTGGTGACTTCCTGTCACCAGCACTTGAGGCATTTTGGTTTCTCCTCCTTATCCCAGCACTGTTCACTGTTTCCTGGGCTGTATCACAGTAAAAATATTTCATAAGCCCGTGTTCATGTAAACGATTTGCACTTGCTGCCTGCATGATCTCCACGGTCACTCACTGTAGATGCTTGCAGTTTTCTCAAACGTTTTGGCTCCTACGTCCTGACTCTGATTTCTCCTGCCCTCCAGGTGTGGTCCTGTACTCTGGGGTTCACTCCTCAGGCCCTGTATTCTCCTTCCTGGTGGCCTTGCCCACAGTCCCTGCCTCCACAGGAAGCTGACTCTACCACCTTCTCTCCAGAGCAATAGCGCTCATTCCCCAGGCAGTAGAGACCCAGTGGGGTGCTCTTTGTGGGCTGTCCCTTATTTCCTCCTCTGTGATCACAGGGGCTGCCAGTTGGGAGGCTCTGTGGGTGCCGAGTCCGAAGCTCTCTCTGGGCCCAGAACCTGTAGGAGGTTAAAGGCATCCTTTTTCACCAGAGACCACTTTGCAATCCAGCAAGCCTCATAGCTGGGAAGCTCTACATGACTCAAAAGCTCAGCCCAACTCGGATGCCTGAGGGTATTCAGATCCCCCCTGTCAGGGCCCCAGCCTGCTCCCTTGACGGCTCCAGGATCGATGTCCACTTGAGGGCCGTTGGGCCTGGAGTCACTGGGCCCAGCCTGGGGGAGTCTGCTGAGGGAAGGGGGAGGGAGAAGCTGTCCATTGAGCTTTGGGGCATGAAACAGCTAATGAAGGTGCATAGGGAATCATTCAGGGAAAGTTGGAACGCAGGAGAGGAGCCGGTTGTGACTCTAAGAGATCCCTCCAGACTGTGGCATCTGCACCGTCAGGCTGCTGGGGACGTGTGCTTCTGCTCATGGAGCCAGAACGAGGGCCATTTTGTTTCCTGTATTCTAAAGATAATGTCACGTCTGTCATTCTTCTTAGTCCTAACTTTGTTCTAATTTGTAAATGAAGATAGCAACTTTGACCATTACCATGGTGTTTACTAAGATGATTATTTGTTTTATAGCAATTGAAAGAACAGAAAAATGCCGGCACTAGAACGAATGAGGTAAGAGTCTTGTTATGTGGTGAATGGGCCCGAATCAGGCAGGTCTATCCAGCAAGGGCGGTTCAGTTGGTGTCTGGGGACACCTCACAGAGGAGCTCAGACCCAGCAGGGAAGAGTAGCAAAGGAGCTGGGTCTATCTGTGACAACAGTAAAAACACCACGTTTGTGCTTTACTGTTGTCAGATGATTTTGTACATAAATTCATTAGACACTCATGGACAACCCAGTCGAGCAGCTATGTTGGGCTTTTGTATTCTGCGCATCTGACAGGTGAAGAAATTGAGTCACAGGAAGTTTGCAGGATTTAGCTAAGAGTGCACAGAGTACTGTCATAGTTGGAATGAGAGGCCACTTTTATGACTGCTTTGCTGTGTGCCAAGAGGGCTTTTCGGCCATGGCATCCCCTACTGGAAGCATTGCCTTTGCATCAGTTTCCTTCTTACAACGTGATCCTTAGAGTTGGGTTTGTGATGTGTTCAGAGATGAACTACGGACAACAGATAAAATAACTGGAGGTGTTTCGGTTTAGAACATTTTCGTTCTCTATGCACACACAGCATGCATTTCTACCACACCAGGACAGTGGAGGTCACGTGGAGCAGCGGGACAAACACAGGCCTAGGCGGTGCAAATATGCCTTCTAGCCCTGGTTTTGCCTGGACTGTTTCAACCTCCCTGGGTCTAGCAGTTGCACCTCTCTAGTTCTAAGTTATGAGGTTCACGTCTATGAAGGTACTTTGAAATCTATACATTTCTACCAAAACCAAGACACTTCGTGACCTGCCAGGTTTACACGAGTCAGCCCTTCCCGTAGGCAGTAGCCGATCACAAGTGTGCACTTAACTCCCGGCGCTCTCACCGCCCCCCCGACCCACCTTCACCGAGATGTGCAGCCACACTGGGCAGGCAGGCAGAGCTGAGGATCGAGGAGCCTTAGGTCACAAAGCCATTAGTCGCTATTTTCCCATTGACATTTAGTGCTCTGAATCTGTACCCCTTGCCATAACTTCAGACATTTATCTTTCAGAGCACACTGAGATACTCAGAATCATTAAATCTGGGAGAGATTGAATGTTGAGTCTTTGGACTTGCCGCTGGTTGCGTCCAGGATCTCTTGTGGCCTGTTGTAATGTTAATTGGGCTTTTGGAAAGTTTCAGGATCTGTGAATAAGTGGTTATATTCTTTTCTTCTTTCCTTTTCTTTTCCAAGGGTCCTCTCATCGTTACTGAAGAGCTTCACTCCCTTAGTTTTGAAACCCAGTTGTGCCAGCCTGGTTTGGTGATTGATCTCGAGGTAAGACGTTTTTGCTCCTGAGTTGGAAAACTTCATTATTTTTACTTTTAATTGTTACATGTATTTTTATTTCTCAGCTTTTGTTTGAGAGGTATTTACCTAATTGTTTTGAAAATGATCTTTTTCAGCTGATACTATCTTAACCTTAATTTATGGTCCAGAGAGCTAGAGAATTGAATTAACCTTCAGATTCTATTACTTAAACATTCCAGTTGAGATAGCTGATTTTAATTTTATAACATTAAGCACTGAACTTATTTATTTTACTCTGCCCTCCCCTTACATTTTGTATTTTCAATGTGACAATTTTTATCTTCTTGTATTGCATATCCCTTAAGGAATTATTGTAGCTGTTATTATTTTTGGGGACTTATTTCTTAACTGAAAGATACGTCAAAGGCAAATTAAACTGGACAAAAAATCAGAACTTTACATTTCTCATTTTCAAGTATTAAATATGTGCAAATTTACAAATAATCCCCTGCTTTTAGTTGAGGCTAAGCAGTTACCTGAAGGTGATGTTTCTGTGATTCGGAGGATTTCAAGGTCTCTGTCATCCTTTAGACGACCTCTCTGCCTGTTGTGGTGATCTCCAACGTCAGCCAGCTCCCGAGTGGTTGGGCCTCCATCCTTTGGTACAACATGCTGGTGGCAGAACCCAGGGTATGGAAAACACATTTGCTTTGGTCCCAGGGTTAAGCAGAGACCCCTGTGCTCTCACTGCTGCATCTTTGAAATAGTCCCAATTGCCAGGTGTTGAGGGAGTAGTGACAAAGCTCCTATGGTGTTTCTAAGGCTCTCGAGTAAATCTGGGAATGTGAAGCCTGGCAATGTGTTCGAAATGAGAATTATGATTTTTCTCCCATGTGAGTAAGCTAGGGCAGTCAGGGATTCCATATCACTTTATTGTGATTCTTTAAAAATGTATACATCTACTAAACAAGCATGCTCCATTCTTAGAGTGTGGGTACTCACTATTAATTAGTTATAGTCAATTATCATTATTTGAAGTACTTTTTTAAGGTCACCAGGAACACTTAATCAGCAAATAATGAATTGTTGCCCCAAAGGTAACTACAAGCCTAGGTTCCTGCAAGCCTCTGGTCACAATATTTATGTCAACCCATCAATACATAACCTTGTTTATGTGTGTTTCTGTTTAAAGACACCTTATCTAATATACTTGCTGATGCATTAACATTACACCTACAGTCAGATCACTGTAACTCATGCCTGAGTGAAGCTTACCCCACACATGTATTTTCTCCATAAGGTACATCCCAGCCTTCCCATGCTTAGGGACAGTAGACCACACTGTGGCACTATGCTTGGGCACCATTTTAAACAGTGATGACCAACAGCAGTCACAAAGTGCAAAGAACATGGTACTAAATAGACTTCAAAAAGGACACATTTTTGTATGAGAGCTGAAAGAGGAAGCCAGCATGTTATTTTGCTTGTCTTCAGTTGGAAACATAAGTGTTAAGAGACTTGAATTCTTTGCTGCTGTGTGCATGGGTGTGTCTTCAAATGACCGCAAAGACACCATGTGTTTAGATTTTGGAGTTATAAGTAAATTTTAGTGAGTAAACAGGTTCACAAATGTGCATCTGTGAATAATGAAAATTGACTGTATTTCTCTTCCCCTACTGTGAAAGCATCTGTGTGTCATATAAACTAGGACTGAACATTGGGATGGACATATGTTCTAGTGTCTCACTTGTGACTTGTGTCTCTGTAGTAACCCATAGATTTTGGATATTTTCTCTCTAGAATCTGTCCTTCTTCCTGAATCCACCATGTGCACGATGGGCTCAGCTTTCAGAGGTGCTGAGTTGGCAGTTTTCTTCTGTCACCAAAAGAGGTCTCAATGTGGACCAGCTGAACATGTTGGGAGAGAAGCTTCTTGGTATTTGCATATTAACTTCTTATTAACGTTTATAAAAATTGAAATTCATAAAAATATCTCTAATTGCTCTTTTCTCCTTTTTGCTGTCACTTTTGTTAAAGGTAAAAAAGTATTAAAATCTGTCAGCTTTTCAAGCTACAGTTTATTGTAGCTAAGTGAGAATCATATATCACCTTAAAAAGAAATACAGACCTGATAACATTTAAATGAATCCTTTCCTCATTGTCTCATATTAAGATTTCTGAGATGCATTCCTAAGGGAAAGTTTTTTTGTTTTTGTTGTTGTTGTTGTTGTTTGAGATGGAATCTCACTCTGTCACCCAGGCTGGAGTGTAGTGGCACGATCTTGGCTCATTGCAACCTCCGCCTCCCAGGTTTAAGCAATTCTCCACCTCAGCCTCCCGAGTAGCTGGGATTACAGGCATGTGCCACCATGCCTGGCTAACTTTTTGTATTTTTAGTAGAGATGGGGTTTCACCATCTTGGCCAGGCTTGTCTTGAACTCCTGACCTTGTGATCCACCCACATCGGCCTCCCAAAGTGCTGGGATTATAGGCATGAGCCACTGTGCCCAGCCCCCTATGAGAAAGTTGTATGAATGATGTAAAATAGATTATTTGTAGCTGAAATAATTTCCTGGATGAGAAAGATGAAGGCCTGTTAACCTTGGGGAGCAAAAAAGGAAGTCCCTGACATGATAAGAATAAAGTTTTTGGGCCTGCCCACTGCAGCATAAATCCAGGGCACTTGCCTCAGGTGGGCCCAGGTGGCAGGGGATGCTGTTCCTACAAGAGGATGCCTCTTTGGATCTGCAGTTTTGCCTGACTGGGCAGAGTGTAGATGGTGGTAGATAATTCCCTTTCGGTGGTTAATGTCAGTGCATTTATTAGTCTTCCATACTAAGCAAATCAAAGATCCACTAGTCTCAAGGTCAGATCTTTCAGTGAATGGGGCTATCTGAACCATTTCTTTAAAAACCCGTGGACAGCTTGTTTCCAGATTTGCTTTCTGTAGAGCAGCACTGCATTTACTACAAATAGCAGTAGGCTCTTCCTAACCCAGTGGCTTTGAACAATGCCTCCCCTTGGCCATGCAGCTGTCACAGTGGTGGTCTTGTGCTATTTAATAAAAAGTGTAAAATCACCTTATTCCATTTTCTTATTTGGGGAGCGTTAAGAAGGGTATCTTTCCTGCCTGTAGTGGCTTATTTATAGTTCTCTTTGAAGACAGATCATGGGCTTATCACCTCTTCTCACCCGGGCTGCTTTAATTTGTATACCTAATAAGCTCTGGGCTTCTTTCATTTCTCTCACTTGGCTTTTGATTCACATCAAACTCTGAGCCCATGTCCTCTTTGGAGGAGCGCTGAGGGAAATGTATAAATAATGTCTAAAATAAATTTGTAAAGTCAAGTATCAGTTACACTGAAGATCTAAGAGTGATCTTGGGCACAGGTTGAACTTTGACAAAAATTCTTTAGGGTCCTTGGAAGAGGGGGCTCTGCTGAACAGTAGGGGAAGGCAGTGGGGAGAGGCATTGGATGGGGAGGCTTCTCTAGGAGGCCCAGCAGAGCACCTTTGGTTTTGTGCAAAAGACAAAGTCAGCTGATGGTCTTGGAAGGAAGTATAACATGAACAGTGCATTAAACAGACTCTCCTCTCAGAAAAGAGGGAGGGGAAAGGGGCTGCTGGGCAGGGAGAGAGCAGATGGTAAGGCTTTTTGATGTTTCTGCTTTCCCTAAAAACTCTCATATCATAGTGCCCAGGAATCTGGCATGGATTCCTCCCTGCCATTAAACTCAAACCAATATACACATATTTTAGACTATTTAAATTCTGCCCTTTTCCAGCACGTGATAATTGCTCAGTTAATTTGGCATTAAGGTCTCCAAAAATGCCAACTGTGTACATACAATCTTTGTTGGGCGTTTGGCTCTGTTCCTTGAGAGCAAATACAAGAGCCATCCTCCAACCAAAGCTTCAGAATCAGTTTCTGTTTGCTGAAAAATCTGGTTTTTATTTGTTTAGGTCCTAACGCCAGCCCCGATGGTCTCATTCCATGGACGAGGTTTTGTAAGGTGAGGACTGTCTGGGTTTTGTGCTCTCTGAGTCCTTTCTGCTGTTGGTTGAGGTTCTCGTATTTCTTACTGTGATAGTTACCTGTTTGCTTATCTTGGCACGTTCTCTGACCAAGGAGCCTCTCGGGCAAGTTGTTTACGTTTCTTCAGTGCAGGAGGTTGGTCTCTGAGCGGGAGTCTGACAGGAAGCACCTGCCTGAGTGATAACATTCTTTTATATCTGAAATGAGTCTTCTCACGCTGGCTGGACCCCTGCCCAGCAGTGTCTCAGCCATTTCTGTGTGAAATGTATGTTCTACGCCAGGTGGCACAGCCTGATCACCCAGAAGAGCTTCATGGCCTGCTCAAGCAGAGAGGCCCACTGCGAAGAACATTTAGATCCTGCCAGGGTCACCAGACAGTGCGGATCAGCTCGCACTGCTGGATTTTGTTAGTGTGGGCAGCTGTGTTTCCGTGATTCACACTGGAGGTCATCCCCGGGCTGGCTTGCTACTGTTTGGAAAGGGAAGCAGAGCCCGGCCCAGGGAAATGGAAAGCTCTTGGTCTGAATGGTGATAAGAGGAGGGAGGGATCTTGATATTCCCCACCAAAGAAGGGATCCCACTGCTGCGCTGAATGGGACAGTTCCATCCTGGCACCTGGGGACTTGTTACAAATTAAAACCTGATGGCGGGAAGGGGCCATGGTAAGTCACTGTTTTAGATTTTTGTTCATAATATGTGCATTTGTTTACTTTCAGGAGAATATAAATGATAAAAATTTTCCCTTCTGGCTTTGGATTGAAAGCATCCTAGAACTCATTAAAAAACACCTGCTCCCTCTCTGGAATGATGGGTAAGGGCCACCGGTGGATGTATTTTGAAACTTATTTTTAGTGCTTCAATGTTGAGACAAGGCCTGAGTCCAGCTGCAGTATTTGACTAGATGTGTATGAATCTCACAAAGGTGCACATTTACAGGAGAGTGGAACCTCATAACATTAATAACCTTACGCTTTCTTAGTTACGTGTATAAGTACTGGCAAAGCTAAATAAAAAGCAAAAACAAACAAAAAACTCTGAGTGCCATGCATGCATTCATTCACTCAACAAAAATTTTTTGAGCACCTACTATGTGGCCCCTAGGAAGGAAGAAAAACCCTTTTAACTGGGCAAATCATTTCTCTCTGACTTATTGCCAGAATCAGCTGATATTTCAACAAAAGCTTTAACTCCATCAGAAGGGCTAGAATATGAACATATTCCTCTCCAGTAAAAAAGATGTGTAAATTCAGACATTTTCATGGCCTTTAAAATAATCAAGGAACAATAAAAGGCTAATTAATCTAACACATATTTATTGAGCATCTGTAGCATCCTACTGACACCATGTTCATATTGGTTTTTTTAAACCTTAGTATGTACATGTAGAAGTGAAAAGCTTCCCTAAGTGTCAACTGAATAGATTTTAAAATGATGTATGTTTAACATAGGTTCTTTGTCATATTCCAGCCATTTTCTTGGTAAGTTAGCATGAAAATGGAAATCACAATTGATCTAATAAAAGCCCCTCTGCCCATCTCTTCAATATCCAGGTGCATCATGGGCTTCATCAGCAAGGAACGAGAGCGCGCCCTGTTGAAGGACCAGCAGCCGGGGACCTTCCTGCTGCGGTTCAGTGAGAGCTCCCGGGAAGGGGCAATCACATTCACATGGGTGGAGCGGTCCCAGAATGGAGGCGGTAAGTGGGAGATTGAGCACATGGTCCCACCATTCCATGTGCGTGAAGTCCCTCTTCATCGCCGCCAGTGAGCTCATACAGATGATGTTTGGGACATGAAATTGCAGATCTCATACTTCCCCTGAATGAGCCCCTGATAGGATTTCACAAAGCACCATGAATGTTTGTGGTTCACTCTCTGGAACATATCATGGAAATGGTGGTTTTGAAAAGACAAGGCCAGATTCTTTCCTTTGCGTCAGGTTCGTTATCTGCAGATCAAGGATGTGAGTCAATATAATCTGCAACCCATTCTTGGAAGGAATCACATTTCCCACAGGTGTAAGCATCCAGACTGTCTTAGGGTAATCCCAGAGTAGAATATGTGGATGGGAACAGGCTTTGGGAGAAGACTTCATATACATCGTTAGCCAGGGAGCGGGTGCAGGGCCTATTGGGACAAGTGGCAGCCTCTGCCCTGCCTTCAGACAGAGCAACTGCAAGTTTATCTTTGTCGTATATTGGGTTTCTATTTAATCAAATGAGTCCATGGCTGAAAGACTCTGGAAACCTTGGCGTTATGAAGCAGGTTTCTGAGGATAAAGCTCAACAGCGTACATGAAAAAATCATAAAGACAAACTGATTACTTTTTGCTGTTGTTTAGAGTTTGGTCTATTTGAAGGGCAGGAGGAAAAACTGATTTGTTTTAGTAATTTTTACACTTTCTATGGGTAGACACAAAGTGGAATACTCTTCATATTCTATTTATTTTTCTGGAATACTCTTGTGCTATTTTTCTGGATTCCTCTTGTTCTATTTTTCTGGCATACTCTTCTTGTTTCATTTTTCTAGAATACTGTTCTTGTTCTATTTATTTTTCTGGAATACTCTTGTTCTATTTATTTTTCTGGAATATTCTTGTTTATTTTTCTGAAATACTCTTGTTCTATTTTTCTGGAATAGTCTTCTATTTATTTTTCTGGAATAGTCTTTCTTATTCTATTTATTTTTTCTGGAATACTCTTCTTGTTCTATTTGCTTTTCTGGAATATTCTTCTTCTGTTTTTCTCCTGAAGAAAACTCAGCGGGGCTGAGATGAGAGTCTGGCATGGGCAGTAGTCACTGGAGCCTGCCCTTTTCCTCTTATCCCTTTCCCTTCTTGAACCAGCTGAGGGACAGAGCTACCAGACCAAGCAGAGATGAAGAAGGCCCTTGGCAACCAGGAAAGGTCAAGTAGGGCAGTACCAGCCAAGAAGGGTTACAATGGCAGTGTAGTCTCATGTTCCAGAGCAGGCTCCCCAGAGCACCTGAACCGTGGCCTCTGGAAAGTGGACACCCGAAGATTCTGTATCAGCTAGGAAAAAGGATCTGAATTCAGTCTGGGAATAAGAACAGGAGTGAATTAAACCATGGTTTATTACATTAAGGGTTAGAGGGAAATGTAGCAAGTAGGATCTTTTTTTATTTCAAAAGCTGTTTTCTATATATCATCATCATCATTTATTTTAATACAAAATCAGATTTTTCAATATGAAAAGAAAACCAAAGTGAATTTAGCTTTAGTACTTTAAATCTATGGCTTGAGCCAAGATAACCCACTTAGTAGAGAGTTATTTATCTGCCTCTTGGCAGCATATCATTAAAGATGCAAGCTTTTAAATGTTTTTAATAAATCATTTTTGGCCAGATTTATAAATCTAAGCAAATAATGTCAAATGCAATGTTATTGAGAATAATGCCTCCTTTTATTTTTCTTAAGACAGGATTATAATTTATTTAGAAATAAAGCAGTCTACTACATATGTTATAACTCTTAGATTGTGATTAGTTCTTATGAGGTTCACTCAAATCTGTCAACTCTGCAGTGTTTTATTTCTCCATCCTCTTTCATTTTGGGATATTCTGTGGGATTCACTTTTCTTTTCTTTTTTTTTTAGAACCTTACTTCCATGCAGTTGAACCCTACACAAAGAAAGAACTTTCTGCTGTTACTTTCCCTGACATCATTCGCAATTACAAAGTCATGGCTGCTGAGAATATTCCTGAGAATCCCCTGAAGTATCTGTATCCAAATATTGACAAAGACCATGCCTTTGGAAAGTATTACTCCAGGCCAAAGGAAGGTAAGTAGGGCGAGCAGGTGGTAGTCACATGGCACAGTCCTTCCTGATGAGGGGGTGATTGTTCTCAAACTCTCCACCCATGCAGTGGCATTAACCCACCACTTGCTTTTGAATTGGTAAGTTCAGGCTTTTGAAAGATGGTATAAACTCAGAGCAGTTGAAACATAATGCATTATTTGACCTGATATAGCTATAAAAAATGAATGGATAATTTCCTATTTTAGGAGTGTTGGAAAAATCCATTGCTGGTCTTCTGTATTTGTTACTATCACTGTTTCCACATGAAAAGGGGTAAAGAATAAGGAACTGTGGCCAACCAACAGAAGGCATCTTGCTCATGTTAAAGTTGAGGAAACCAAGGTGCAGAAGCAGTCAAGTGGTTCATTTAGGGTGGCCCAATTACTTACTAGATCCTATTTTTATTAGATAATTATTAAGAGGAGGCCTCATCTGAGAACACAGGTCTCTTGCTTCTCAGTTGTCAGTGAACTGCATTTGAGAAAGCTCAAATTAGACCTGTTTTGTTTGGAACACAACAACAAAGCTGTTTTTCAGAATCAGAAATCTCAATATTAGGAAAATTACTTTGGAATGAAAATGCCTCCAGCTTACCCTGAGAGCTGTGAATATTCATTAGCCAGGCTAATGCCAATAAACCAGATAGAACTTCACATATTTTGGGCTCCAACTCCCTGTAAAATTTCAAGTTGTGTAAAGAGAAAGCTCCTAGCTAGAGTCCTGCTGAAATCTCCTCCTCCTTCTAGTTGCTTCTGCATTCCCATTAGAATTTTAGGTAACTCGGGGAGGGAGGTTATAGCCCCTTAAAGTTTTAGGACACTAAGCTGTCTAGAAACACAGTATAACTTTAATCCCCCTGAAAACTTGATGTTCTATTCTTAAGTAATTTCTGTTGATTGACAGTGTGCATGATGTGTTTTTTCTAGCACCAGAGCCAATGGAACTTGATGGCCCTAAAGGAACAGGATATATCAAGACTGAATTGATTTCTGTGTCTGAAGTGTAAGTGAACACAGAAGAGTGACATGTTTGCAAACCTCAGGCCAGCTTGTTCCTGGCTGGGGCCTGTTGAAGATGCTTGTATCTTACTTTTCCATTGTAATTGCTGTCGCCATCACAGTTGAACTTGTTGAGATCCCTTGTTACCCGCTATCAGCATTTCACTACCTTTTTTAAAAAAAAAAAAAAAAAAAAGCCAAAAACTAAATTTGTATTTAAAGTATATACATTTTCCCAAAACTGATACTTTGAAAAAGTATAAATAAAATGAGCAAAAATTGATCAGAGTGGGAAAGTAGTTCTTTTCAATCTAGAAAAGGCCAAAGTAATGATTGAGATACATTGTCTCCACTTGCTTTGATTTTGTTGTTTCATTTTATAAAAGGTAGAAAAAATTTTGGAAATGTCATTGTCAGTTATTTGGCCTGCAGCACTGTCTTGGGGTGAATGGATGTAGCCTTCATGTAAAAACACTCTGTGGAGCAGCTTTATCTGCATTCAAACCTCAAGGTAGGGATGAGGGACTCCCCAGACTTCTCTGGTGCTTTTCTGTCCAGGGTAAGCCAGGAGGCATCGTCATCTCAGGGTAGTGCACTGCACACACTCACACCTAGGCTTACCCAGGCAGAAGCGGCGCAGATTCGTCTGGCTATTGCCCATCATATCCCTGGAGTGTGAAACGTTTCGCAAGGGGCTGGGCTGGGGACATGAGCCTCCCATGAGCTATGCTTTTAAAAATGTATTTTATAAGTGTATGCACTTACCCAAAATAAAAATGTAATGATTATTCATACAGACAAAAGATAAAGTATGTAAGTATGCACTAGTGCTTTCATCACTCAGATGTTGACTTCCCCTTTTCTTTTTCCCCATTTTAGTCACCCTTCTAGACTTCAGTCCACAGACAACCTGCTCCCTATGTCTCCTGAGGAGTTTGACGAGGTGTCTCGGATAGTGGGCTCCGTAGAATTCGACAGTATGGTAAGTACCACGGCTGGCATGTGTGTAGCTCTCAGTAAATACGTGTGCTCAGAGACAGAGGGCACCATGGCAGATCCTGGGCCTGTCTGCAGGAGATAACCCTGGCAGAGCCAAGGGGAGTGCAGTGTTCAGATGAGCTGTGACGTATTGGAGCTGCTGTATTTAAACCACCTACATCATCAACAGGATTTTTATTCCTGGCATTCAGCACCTTCCACAAAACAAGTGACGTTTCAAATATTCAAGTTTCCTCCTCTGCCTTTGAAGTTGTCCATGTAGAAATTTCATATATTAAGGAACTAAGATTTCTTTGATAAGCAAATGTTTTTCTTCAGTATGCTGCTTCGTCACTGTGTCTAGGGGAGGGAGTGTTATTTTTAGAAAGGGAGGGACTAATGCTTGGTAGTTACAATAATTAGAGAATTATACTTTAGTTAGCAGCAATGAAATTACTTCATCTGCTTTATATTTGAGAGCTAATTTGTACAACTAGTTCCTGGGGCTGTGAAGGGCTTGCCAAAAGTAAAAGGTTCAAGGAATGAAATAGTTAATGAGATTCATGATAGAAATAGGAAGATAATTGTCCACAAAAGATAGCATCTTCCTTTGGGAGGGTGTTTTTTAATATGTCAACTAGTATTGTTTGCCTTTCAGCCTGAAATCTTTCCTCTTAAAGATTGTGCTTGCTTGGCCGAATTTTTGCTGATGCTGTTTAATTTTAAGCTCTTTTCCACATGGAGCTATTCCAGCTCATACTTAAAAATTTGTTTAATGCTTCTAAAAAATATCCTCAGTCTTTACTGGCCTTTCTTCCTTACTGTGTACCTGGTGCCTGGCAAAAAGTATGTGCTTAACAAAGAGAAGAAGGCAGGGAGGGGAAAGGTGAGAGAGAATGAGAGGGCGTCACTCTTCAGACCTTTGGGAAATGCGTTGATAAGGCCTCAGTAAGATCTGCCTGGCTTCAAGTTTCTCATGTGTAACTTTTTGACTTTTTTCCTCACCTTAAGCACGGGCTCAATCATTAGAGATTGTACCTTCTTATACCTTCCTGATTGTCGATGATGAAATAGGCCATTTAGAAAAAAACTTAGCTAGTGTGGCAGCAAAATAGTTCCATTCCTATTGGCAAATGTAAAATGAGCCTTTTCTGGGTGTAAGGGAGATCCTGTTAGAATGTAGCTCCCAACACTGCTATGAAGGTATAAAGGGCATTATAGGCCTGGGACAAGAATGGAGCAGATACAAACCCCTATTCAGAAAATATGTTATATCGCAGGAACTGTAAAATGGGGGGATCTTCTTTTATATACCTCCTTTGTCGTTCCTGAGCAAATTACATCATCACCACCACCATTAATAGGTGACATTAAGCACCTACTATATACCATGTACTTCACAGGTAGTAAGTCATTCAGTTCTCACAGCCACCTTCTGAGTTAGGTATTATTGTTACTGCTCTTTTGACAGATGTGAGAACAGAGCTCCTCATCCCCCCATAGCCCCTTTTATGTAACTTGACTAAGATCAAGCAGTTAGTAAATGATAGAAAGAATATTTGAATCTACCTAATGAGTCCCTAGTTCATGCTTTTGTCCAGTATCCTGGAAAGCCTCCCACAAAAAGCTAATCTTTGCCCCATTCAAAACATGTACCCTGAAGAAGCTGTTTGTACAGGATTATGTTTATTCTGTTATTAAGACAAAGGCAGCATGGCCTTTGGGTGAGAGGCCTGTGTGTGTTTGGGATTTGGCAATCAGTATTCCGTCTCTGTCGTCACCATTATTTCCCGTGACATTGAGAAAATAGATGGATTGGTTCCCTCTCTGCAGTCCTGTGCAAGCAGTTGGACTGCTTTCTCTGTGCTCTCAGGACGATACTGTGAGAGCAATTTAAATATGCTGAACACATGTCAGGAAACAGTTTTGTGGTCTTTGGATGCCTGCTTGTAGCCATTCCATTCCATTTCAGATGATTTCATTCATTTCATTTGTAGAATAAAATAAATCCATTTTACACACACACACACCCTCTGCACACCACTGAAGTCTCTCATTAAACCCATAGAAGACATAAAGAGCTAAAGAGTCTATAATTTAAAAAAGAAAAAAGAAAAAAAGCATCTATAATACAGGCAGTTGAATAGTCTAGACAAAAGTTGAATCAGTCTCTAAATTCGGTTGACTCCACAGTGGTTTGCTATTCTGCCCCTTGGCCATGACTTCCATCCAGCATCCACTCTTAGAATCAGGGTGTACACTCTGAAACAGAAGCAGCTCTCCCCAAGCTGGCTGTCTTCTGCCAAGTCTGGAGGTTGCAGCTCTGGAAGAGGGTGGCATCAGGGACCTACGCCTGGTGTAGCCTCAGGAGCAACAGGACCATAGGCTCCTGAGGAAATTGTCCAAGAGAGCCAGAGCACCGGTGTTTTCTGCAGTGTGACTTGGGCATTTGTTTAGTCTGGATTTCCTATGTAATCAGTGTTTTCCTCCGGGACTATAATAGAACCAGTCTACTCTGCTAGAGGCTTTAGCCAAAGTTCGTAATGATAGGACTGTCAATAGACAGTCTACTACTTTTCATCTACTATAGTGAACACTTTACATATGCCATCTAATTTAACAAGCCTATCTGCTAGGTACTATTAATCATCTTTTGATAGATGAAGACTTTGAGGTTTAGAGAGGGTAAGTCATATGCCTTGGCCACACAGTGACAGGATCTGAATCCAGGCTTTCTCCTTTCCTCTATCTTTCCCTCCCTCCCTCTCTTTACCCCCATAGTCCACCATATTAACCACACATTTGAAACATCAGCCAGACTGAAACATAAGGGCAACACTTTCACTGTGCTTTTCAATCCAGAATAATTTTCCTAAGAGCCCACTATGTACCACACACTATTGAGCACCTGGGATTTAAAAAATGTTCTCATGAGGCTTTCCAGTCTAGTGCCGTGTGTCTCAGTCTTGGTGCTACTGGTATTTGGGGATGCAGAAGTATTTGTTGGGGATGGGAGGTCTTTACTGTGCTTCATGGGAAGTTCAGCAGCACCTCTGGCCTCTACCAAATAGATGCCAGTAAGCACATGCACTCTCACAGCCAGATGAGACAATCAGAAATGTCTTCAGACATTGCCAGGGGACAGAATCATCTTTAATTAAAAGTATCTGGTCTAAGGGGAAAGACCAGTGTGGAAGTCAGACAGAAAGTGACTGGCAGGCTAGTATTCTTTGGATGAGCAATTTACCACCATGAGTTATCCTGGTCAAGGCAGCTGGGCAGAATGTACCGGTGGGGAGGGTGAAAGGATTCTTGGTAATTCTGCTTCTCTAGCCTGTACCTGAAACAGTCACTGATTTTACCCACTGAGTGGCCTTTAGGGGAAATGTATCCTTATCCTTCCTCTCTCCCTCTGGCATATGGCTCAGCATTTCCTCACTCTTGTTTCACATGAGCAGATTTGCCACGTTGCTCTCTGTCCCCAGACCTGCATAACAGCAAAAAGCTTTATGTAGTCTGGATGGATTCACAAAATTAAGCCAGTGGGCTGCAGAGTAATAATCCATCAGCTTAGGTAATATAAAAGGTCTTGGTTAGCCCAGGATAATAGACAGTACATGCTGAAGGCCCTCTTATTCCATGGTAGTTATTTCCCATTGGAAGTATCTTCCTACTATTTCATTCTAGAATAGACAGTAATGTTTAATGTATGAATCTGCATTTCACAACATCAGTATAATAAACTTAACCACATTTTGTCTTTTTACAGATGAACGCAGTATAGAACATGAATTTTTTTCGTCTTCTCTGGCGACAGTTTTCCTTCTCATCTGTGATTCCCTCCTGCTACTCTGTTCCTTCCCATCCTGTGTTTCTAGGGAAATGAAAGAAAGGCCAACAAATTTGCTGCAACCTGTTGATAGCAAGTGAATTTTTCTCTAACTCAGAAACATCAGTTACTCTGAAGGGCATCATGCATCTTACTGAAGGTAAAATTGAAAGGCATTTTCTGAAGAGTAGGCCTCACAAATGAAAAACATCCAGATACATCCAAAGTATCGGACTAGAATGAGGGTCCTTTGGGAAAGGAGAAGTTTAGCAACATCTAGCAAATGCTGTGCATAAAGTTAGTGCCCAACTGTTATAGGTTGTTGGATAAGTCAATGGTTATTTAGAAAACTGCTTGATATAGAAATGGTAAATTTCTATTGGAGAATTCTTAGGTGTTCTCTCTGCTTTAAGTATGGCTGGCAGTTTTCCTTTGCTTTACCTGTGAAATAGTTCAAAGCCAAGTTTATATACAATGATATCAGTCCTCTTTCAAAGGTACCCATAGTGCATCTGGTGGGGGAAAGGTGTATTTTACTACATGTTTCACATTGGCCATTTAAAGACAAAGATGAATTCAAATTCTGTCTCTTGAGAGAATATTAGCTTTACTGTTTGTCATGGCTTAAGGATACTGGCTAATATCAATAGAAGGATGTACATTTTCCAAATTCACAAGTAGTGTTCTGTGTTTAATATCCAAAGCTGAAAACATTCTGCTTTCATCTTGGTCACATACAGTTATTTTTACAGTTCTACCAAAGGGGTTAGGCTGTGCACAGCCATTCATTCCAGGCAAGTCATCTTATTTTTTTTTCCAAGTTGAAATTAATCATAGATGAACATAAACTCAGAAATTGAATTCATGTTTCTTAAATGGGCTACTTTGTCTTTTTGTTATCAGGTGATATTTAGTCTATTAGCCACAAAATTGGGAAAGGAGTAGAAAAAGTAGTAACTGACAACTTGAATCATTAACCAGAGATAATATGAGAATCAGGTCATTTCAAAATTCATTTCCTATGTAACTGCATTGAGAACTTAATATGTTTCGTTGATATACGTGTTTTTCTGACAATTACATTTACGAATGGTTCCATTCTCTCTCCTGTGCGTTTTCTAGACACTTTTTTGAATGGATGATGTTTCATGAAGTATACTGTATTTTTGTACTTTTTTCCTTCCTTAGCACTGACACAAAAGTAGATGAGGAGATGGGTTTGACAAGGTTCTTCCCTTTCACATACTGCTGTCTATGTGGCTGTATCTTGTTTTTTCCCTGTTGCTACCACAACTATATTATCGTGCAAATGCTGTATTTTTCTTTGGTGGAGATAAAGTTGTCTTGTGTTTTGTTTTAAAATTAAAGCGAACTTACGTGTATTGCATTAAATATAATATGCACAGTGCTTTCCGTGGCACCACACACAATTCAAGGCCTCCTCTCTCCGTTTTTATATAGATGGTGAGAACCTAAGCTTCAGTTGACTTTTCCAATTGAAATGGCCAAAAGACAAAGAAGACAACATTAAAAAAAATATTGTTTTTAATTGCTGAGGTTTAGCTATCAGTTACCTTTTTGCCCTTTGGGAATTTGGCATGGTTTCATTTTACTGCACTAGACAAGAGACTTTACTTTTAAGAAGTATTAAAATTCTAACTTCTTATTAATAGTATTTAATATAAAGATTTTTTTAGTTACTGACATTATGAATTGGTTTGATGCTTTTCTCATGTACATCAATCCTTATTTTAAAATAAGATCAATAACACTATTTTCCTAAGTGTTGTCCTTACCTGCCCTACTCGTATTCGAAATTGCCATGGCAGATTAAGATGTGTCAATGGAAGAGGTCAGAGGACTAATATTATTGGAAAGAGCTATGGTAGGTACCATAAAAAGCAAACAAGAAGTACTTTGGTTCTTTGCAACCACAGCTGTCTCCAAATATACAAATAATTCAGCACTTATTTTAAAATGAATCTGGGTATTGTTAATACCCCAAATTAGCAGTTTTTAACTTTAAAATACTTGAGAAATGGGACTTTGTCTTGCCCCCAAAGCAGCCATCTAAAATCCACACCCCCATGATTAGATGACTTATTACTGAGAAGTTATTGCACACACATAAAAAGCTGCCATTTTTTTCCAAAGATGTCAAAGGCTAGAAAGCCATGCCTTCTCAAAGTAAAATATACTATGTACTAGGGGGAAAAAAGTGTGAGAAGAGGCATAATCACCAAGCTAAACATAGTCTGGCAAGTTGTATTTAACTATTATCGTGGAATAGTGTTATTCCCTGATAACGAATGCTGGCATCAGAACCAGAAGGATTATTCTCATCTCCATATCTGTCGTATTTGCATCTAGGAAATATAAAGTTTATTTATAATGAACACTGAGAGTGATATCTCTCCAGGGAGTAAAGTAAGTATGCCCTGGCTAATAGTGTAAGTTTGTATTCTTACATAATTAACCATTGTAAGAAGTCAATGAGTAGATCCTAACTTAAGAGGTATCTGTGTGTGTTTGAGTATTTCTAGTATGGTGTTAGTAAGTTTGAAAAGTGTTTTATAAGCATAGAGCTTATGGGTGTTACTGGGGACAAATGTCTCATTTTAAAGGAAGAGTTTTCTGAGATGGCATTAAATGACTAAAATCTATTTATTGCCTAAAGCTAAAGTGGAATATGAAGACAAGTCTTACTGAACAAAGCAGTTCTCTGTCACATCTGACTAACCCAGGGGAAGGACAGGGAAAAGCTGGAGAGTGTTTTGAAAACTCTTCTGCCTACCTTTTGAATTTGGACATTAACAAAGTAAGGACCATTTATGTGAATGGCTTCCTTTGGTTAGTTACAATTCATTCATTCATTCATCAGATTTATACAGAGCGCCTGTCATGAGCCAGGTATTATTCTAGATGTTAGGGAAACACTGGTAAACAAAAGCTAAGATCCCTGCTTTTACGGAACATAAGACATTCTGAGACACTGGATCATACATTCTAGTGCAATCACCTTATTAAAACTTAAGATTTTGTGATGTAAACAGCCAGAAGCTATAGATAATGTAAATGTTATATTTAAAAAATACAATTTCAAAGAAATGACATTTAAACCAGTTTTAGGAAAGCTGAAGAGAAACAATATTGTTTTTAGTGCTTTTAAAGATGAGCTTATATTGCTCTTGAATGATACTGACTCAATAATCCTCAGCGTCCCAGTTCTTGTGAACTCACTTTGGGTTATGCATTTGCTATACTAACTGAGAAATGAAGCACCTTGCTTGATTTATTGTAAAAAGGAAAAAACAACAACAAAGCCATATTTAAGCAGTCTTAAACTTGTTTATTAATGTTATCTTGAGTCTACAGAGAACATAAAGCTATCTAAGAGGTAGAAAGCTGTCAAATACCTAATATGAAACTCTGAACTCTCCTATATTTCACAAAGCTGTTACAACACTTCAATACCTTACTGTCAGTGTCTGTTTGCAGCCTTTCCACATTTCTTGTACATAACTGAAACAGTCTTGATATTCTTTTGCCATTGGAACTGCTTGTCTGACACACTTCATAGCCATCTTTTTATTGGCTATTTGGAGAGGAAGCGAGGGGCGCACACAGTCCTGGCGTCTGGTTCATTCTCCAGAATAGAAATAAAACCCCCCCGTCTCCCCCTTTAACACATTCCATCCAATTGTTGTACAATATCTCACACCTCCTTTTTAAAAAACTGCCTTAATTTTCTAATCTTTCTCATCCCCAAACACATATAATCTAGTTAATTACATCCTTTCCTTGCATAACTATAAAATTATCCTTTCCCAAAAAGCCTTTTTTATAAGTGCCATCTAACACATTCATGGGCTGCTTCCCTGGGCCATCTGGTATATGATTTATGAATTTACTCATTTTTACTATGAGGATTAGCAAGTAAAATTAGGAAGGTTCCTCAGACTCCTAAAAAAAGTCCTATAAAAATAAAATGATCTTGTATCAAGAACAAAAATAGCTATTCACTATTTAGGATTATTCATAAATTTGTTGCGCCTGCACTGATGTCCTGCTCCTATCTATGGATGTATATATGTATAGCTGAAGTTGACTATATGTTACAGGACTTACTATTGTAGGTAGCACTTCAGCCTCCCTAAAACTCAGCAGAGAGAGAGGCCTTAGCTAATAGGAGATAGTGCATATGAATAAGCTAATATGCATATTCTTTTTTTTCCCACCCTTCCACCCCAATATGCATATTCTATCCATACTGGGCATAATCAGTGTTGGAGGACGTAGAATAACAGCACAGGACTAAGAGTTCTGTATCATAGCCAATCCTGGGTCTCAGCTTCATCTATGAGTGAGTTAGATTAGAGAATTTCTGATATCTCTTCTAATCACTGTGATAACCCCACTTGACACCTTGCATAGTACCTGGCTCATTGCAGTTCTAAAATGCCAGTAATGCAGTGACTCATCTAGCAAAAACTTACTTTATGACAGATAACTTTGATAAATGAAAATGTAACAATCATGGTGTTGATGCCATGTACTTTCTCTGTGGTTGGAAAACTATACACTAACCTTTCCCAGCCTGAAGGAAAAGAGTGCTCTAAAGACCTGGGATTTCTGGCATTGGAAGCAAATGCTGTTCCCACAGAGTAAATTAGGAGCTGAGGTTTGCCCGCTGGTCACACTCAGATTCTAGTGTGGCAGTACTAGGTTCAACTCACTAAATAAATTTCAAGGCTTTGTGAAAATAACCTCTCCTCTCATTCAAGGGTACGTTTAGTGGTTCCATTCAACAGATTTACTGAGCACTTTCTAACTGTAAAAGGATAGTGTTTGCTTCAAGGGGACTAGAGACATGCCGACACATCCCTCATCTTCAAAGATGAACTCTATCCAGGATTCTTGTCCTAATCATTGTGGCAACGCCATCTGACACCTTGCATAGTACTTAGCTTTACGGCAGGCATTAGAAATGGATTGGAACCAAACCAGACATGGTCTGTATGCTCAGTAGTGTTCCTGGATCTTGTTTTAAGAAAGTTCATTTTTCACACATTTTTTTTTTTGGATACATATATTTATTATGCTGTAAAAAGCAACACTACCTGATTGCATTTAAAATAAATGTTTCCCAATTTCAGAATACTTACAACTCGTAGTTTTAAGATTAGATTCACTTTGGGAGGTTTTAGAAGCAAATACATTCATAGCTGTGTAATCCCCAGGAAGAATCTAAATCTGACATCAGGTCATTCAGTCCCTGCCAGACAGACAACAGCATCAAATGGTCAATAGCTAATCCAGCTCTGCAGCTAAAGGGCAGTGTTGGGCAGCAGTGGGGTATAGCATATTACCAAAGATGAGACCAGCAAAAACAACAAAGTATATAAAGCTTTAAATTAACATGACCATATACAGCTCTCATGATACAGAAAAGCACGTATGATACTAAAGCCAAAACAAAAAGATCTTTGGAGTTTACTGACGGCAGCAGTTAATAGCACAGTCAACAGCATTTAAAACAAATGTATTATTACCAGCCAACAGCAAACAGCCCAAGCAGGAATTGGCGCATAGTCATAAATAACATCAGGAGTAAATAAGGGCACATTTAATTAAACAAAAAAGATTTTACAGACAATTTTGATCTGAAAAAAGATGAAAACTCTCCTTGTTCCCAAATAATGGTTAGAACCTCTTTTTATTATAGAAAAACCTCAAAATCATTGGTAATCTTCAAGTCACACAATTGAACTGTCTTAATGTTTCATTTTAATCACACAAAGCAGGCTCCTATTTGAGCAAAGTTATCTCAGTTGATTTCAATTAAAATATGTCTACCCTGTAATATCTTTGGGGATAATGCTGCTCCTGTGCCGCATCTTAAAAATGCTACCTTGTCTTCACGGCTTGCTAGATCCATGGGGTAGGCAGCTGCTTACCCACCATCCTCCCCGCGAAAGCTCAAGCATGGGAACAGCTTCATGCCTGGTGCAGCTAAGGAACACTGGCCGTGGTTTCACCAAAGGAGGTGCCATCTAGGTAATGGGAGGGCAGTAGCTATAGCCACTGGCTTAGACTGGAAGTAAAATGAAAGCACCTGGAGGCTGCTGGAGTAAGGTGCCATCAATCTTGGTAAAGCTTGGAAGCAGCAGTGTGTGCTCACAGAAAAAAAAAAAAAAAAAAAAAAAGGAAATTGCTGTATGTGGTAATGACTAGCATTCATGTACTTGAGAATTCTGCTCATTTCACTAAACACAGCTTCAAAGAAGTCCATTTGTGTGCATGTGTGTGTGCTTAATATCAGAAGTCCTCACTAACATGCCACTTTATCTCCTTGAAGTTTGACAGGATGAAATGTATGTGCAATTCCTAGAAAATCCTGTTCTTTCAGTTTTTTGAAGCCCATTTTACTTACTTTCCAAATGAATCCTGAATTACCAACCCAAGACAAAGAAATTATAGGTCACAATTTAAAATGAAATGGCCCTTTTTCTTAATAAACTACAGAGCCCACCAAGAATTACACA